AGTGTCCTCATCATTTACCGAGATATTAGGGTCTTTGTTCACTTTGAAGGGCGGAATTCGGTCATCCTTTTCATAATCTTCTGACATGTCCGACTTGTCCTCAATTCCCACGATGACTCTTTTCCCTGAAAGAACTATGTGGCGCTTTGGCTCTTTGGTTGAGTCATTATCGTTTTTTCCTCTTTTTGGTTTGGTAGACATATCATTGACATAGAACACCTGATTCACATCCTTGGCAAGGACGAATGGTTTGTCTTTGTACCCAATATTACTAAGGTCTACTGTTGTTATTCCATACTCGTTGTCTACTGTTACCCCGCCTCCGGTCACCTTGACCCATTGGCACTTGAACAATGGAATCTTCAAAGTAGGTGCATATTCTAGTTCTCATATTTCATCTATGCGGCCATAATATGTCTGCTTATTCCCATTCGGGTCTGTGGCATCTATGCGGACACCACTGTTTTGGTTGGTACTCCTTTTATCTTGGGCTACTGTGTAAAATATGTTTCCATTTATCTCGTACCCTTTGTATGTGACGATATGCCATGATGGTTGCATAGCCAATAAATACAGTTGCTCATGGATGCTCTCATCACCTTGACATTTTTTTCGCAACCAATTGCCGAAAGTTTTCATGTGCTTACGCGTAATCCAAGCTTCAGTCTTCCCTGGAAACTCGGATCGTAAGAGATCCTTGTGTGTCTCAATATACAGATCTACCATAGAGGAGTTCTGTAGAACTGTGTAGTGCGCTTTATTGAAATAATCATCCTCCGTACAAATATATGTTTTCCTCCCTAGTGTCCCCTTTCCACTTAGTCTCCCCTCATGTCTCGATTCAGGAATACCAATCGAGTCAAGGTCGGGAATAAAGTCAACACAGAACTCAATGACCTCTTCTGTTCCATAGCCTTTGGCGATGCTTCCTTCTGGGCGAGCACGGTTGTGAACATATTTCTTCAGGACTTCCATGAATCTCTCTAAGGGGAACATGTTGTGTAGGAACACAGGACCGAGAATGAAAATCTCCTTGACTAGGTGAACTAGGACGTGTGTCATGATATCAAAGAAAGAGGGAGGGAACACCAACTCAAAGCTGACGAGACATTGAACCACATCATTTTGTAGTTTAGCTAGATCAGTTGGATCAATTGTCTTCTAAGAAATTGCATTGAGGAATGCACATAGTTTCACGGTGGCTAGACGTATATTTGGAGTTAGAATTCCTCTTAATGCAACTAGAAGTAATTGTGTCATGAGAACGTGGCAGTCATGGAACTTTAAGTTACAGAATTTCTTCTCTGGCACATTTATAATACCCTTTATATTCGAGGAGAATCCAGATGGTACCTTGATGTTGTTTAAGCATTCAAACATGATTTCCTTCTCCTCTTTGCTTAGAGTGTAGCTGGCAGGACGTAAGTAATGACGTCCATCATCTGTCTTCTCTGGATGCAGGTTGTCTCTTTCTCTCAAACAACGCAGGTCCTGTCGTGCTTCAAATGTGTCCTTAGACTTTCCATACACACCCATGAAGCCTAGCAGGTTCACACAAAGATTCTTCATCAGGTGCATCACGTCGATCGAGCTGCGGACCTCTAGGACTTGCCAATTGGGTAGCTCCCAAAATATGGACTTTTTCTTCCACATGGGTACGTGACCGTTAGCGTCGTTCGAAACAGGTTGGCTGCTATGTCCTTTTCCAAAGACGACTTTCACATCATTGACCATATCGAGTACATCCTCACGGTTCGGTTGCGAGGCTTGGTCAGGTGGTCTGCCTTCCCTTTAAAATGCTTGCCTTTCTTTCTTACGGGGTGATTTGCAGGAAGAAATCGACGATGGCCAAGGTACACGACCTTTTGACATTTTTCAAGAATACACCTCTAATATCACCGAAGCAGTGTGTGCATGTATTATATCCCTTGTTTGACTATCCTGAAAGATTACTTAGAGCAGGCCAATCATTGATTGTTATGAACAACAATGCTCGTAGATCAAAGTGTTCATGTTTGTACTCATCCCACACATGTACACCTTCTTTATTCCACAAAATGAGAAGTTCGTCAATAAGTGGTCTCAGGTACACATCGATGTCATTGCCAGGTTGCTTCGGGCCTTGAATGAGCACAGGCATCATAATGAACTTCCGCTTCATGCATAACCAAGGAGGAAGGTTGTAGATACTTAGAGTAACAGGCCAAGTGCTATGACTACTGTTCTGCTCTCCAAAAGGTTGATACCATCTGTACTTAAAGCAAACCTTAAGTTTCTTGCGTTATTTGCAAACTCCGAGAATTCTTTGTCGATTGCTCTCCACTGGGACCCATCAGCAGGGTGTCTCAACATATTGTCTACCTTACAGTCTTCTTTGTGCCATCGCAACAATTTTGCATGTTCTTTGTTTCTGAACAGACATTTCAAGCGTGGTATTATAGGAGCATACCACATAACCTTGGCAGGGATTTTCTTCCATGGACGTTCGCCCTCAACATCACCAGGGTCATCTCGCCTAATCTTATACCGCGATGCATGGCATACCAGGCATGCATCTAATTTCTCGTACTCTTTGCCATGGTAGAGGATGCAGTCATTAGGACATGCATGTATCTTCTCGATTTCTAGCCCCATAGGACTGACTTGTTTTGCTTCGTAGGTAGTGGCGGATAATTCATTGTCCTTCGGAAGCATCTTCTTTTGGATTTTTAGTAACTCTCCAAATCTCTTATTAGATACACCATTCTTTGCCTTCCATTGCAGCAATTCTAGTGTGGTTCTCAACTTTTTCTGCCCTGCATTACAAGTTGGGACAGCAATTTCTTATGATCTTCTAGCATCTGCTCGAACTTGATCTTCTCCTTTTCACTTTTACATTCTCTTTGTGCGTCATGAATGACCTGACAAAGATCATCAGCAGGCTCATCTTCTGCGGCTACCTCTTCTTCAGCTTCTCCTATTGCAGTATCATTGAAGCACGCACCATCGGGAATAATATCATTGTTGGTCCATTGTTCTTCTTCACCTTCTTCCATTACAACGTCGGTTTCTCCGTGCTTCGTCCAACAAATATAGTTTGGCATGAAACCCGACTTGAACAAGTATGAATGAAGAGTCCTTGAGCAAGGATATTCCACCGTATTCTTACATATGGCACATGGACAGCACATGAAACCGTCGCGTTTGTTTGCCTCGGCCGCACGTAACAAAGAATGCACGCCGTCAATGAACTCTTGGGAGCGACGATCAGCATTGTACATCCAATGCCGGCTCATCTGCATTACATGACATAAATATCATATTAAAACCTAGATCATAATTAATTATTTATACAACATGCGTGCCACCACAAAAGGTACAAATTTATGAAAGCATCGCTACAATATAGACAATCCCAACTACCACTAAAAGAACTAAAACTAAAATACATTTCAGGAGCACAAGGATTTCGCGACCAATCTCAACTAAAACAAACAGATCTCCCGATTGTACAACATTTTTGGGCTTCTTCGGCTGGATCACTGCCTCATTAGCCACCGTATCTGCCTGTTGTGTAAGATATTTTTGCACGAGTTCAACAACTCTTCCTCCCAGTAGAAGCCTGAACATCGTCCACTGCCATCCTACTGAAATTAAAACAAAAAATTAGAACTTTAATCACAACCATCATGAAAATAGGTATAAACTAACCATAATCATAAAATACGATAAAATAACTCACATTGCAATCCAGACACTTGTAGAAGATACGATCCTTGTTGGGACATTCCTTCTTCACTCGGTACTCCATCACAATCTTCGTCTCATCACGACACTTGCCGCATGTAATGAGAGGAAGGCCCGGCCTAAGTCGCTTTGGAAACCCATAAGAGGCCGAGAACCCGGAAGCAGTTGTCATCTACTCTCTATACTCATTTTTTAATACACTATAAATTTCTCATTTTATAAACAAATAAATTTAAAAAACTATAAAATTATCTATATCTCTAAACAATGAAGTGTGTTATGCATTCTAGAAATAAAAAGTGAATACTAATTTTAAATACCTACTTTCACCTTTCTTCATCCAAATATGCAAACTATAAGTTATTTTGAGCTCAAATTGTTTACAAATAAAAAAAAACACCATAAAAACAATATATATATAGTGGACAATATGAGATAAGCCAATAGTAAAAATGAGAGTATGAGATTGATAACATTTACAACTGAAGAATCGACGGAGAAATCGAAAAATGGATGGAGGAACAATGGAGGGAGGAAACAAAACGCTAGTGCAGTGAGCTTCAAAATGTGCTGAGCTCGGGCTCAGGGAGGAAGAAAGAGACGGCCGGGATATAAAGGGGGACCTTTAGTCCCGGTTGGTGGATCCAACCGGGACTAAAGGTAACTTTCCAACTCCCGGTGCAGCCACGGCCCGGGAGTAGACCTTTACTCCTGGTTGGAGCCACCAACCGGGAGTAAAAGTCTATCTTTAGTCCCGACTAAAGGTCCCTGCCACCTCTGTCTGACGCAGTAGCCGTTGGGCAGGGACCTTTAGTCCCGGTTGGATCCACCAACTGAGACTAAAGGTCTCTCTAGTCCCGGACGTAAAAAAATACCGGACTAGAGTCCATTTTAGCTGAGGATCGAAGATCTATTCTCTACGAAGGAGGATGGAGAAGAAGAAGCAATAACCCGGTCATATATCATGAAGCATCTCACGATCTCATTCTCTGAAAGTCGCCACGGTAGTGAGTGGTAACTAACCGCCGCCATCGTGCCGATCGAATCCCAGCCCTTTCCGCCATAAACCCCTGCCCACGTACGGTACGACAACCAACCGTACGCAACGGCACCTTCCTCAACCAGTAAGTAGTCCATCCATCCTCCAGTACAGTGCAGACAAGCATACATACATCCCACGCTAGCTCTCTGCCGCGCGCGCACAGGCACGCCCCGCTCCGCCTGCCTACCCTTTTCACCCAAGAACCGCCCGCCGCGCGCGCCGCTCTCAACTCATGGAGACGTCGCGGGTGAAGCCCGGGTTCAACGGCGTGGGCGTGGGCGTGGGCGTGGGCATGGGCTCCGTCAACGGCAGCAGCCGCCGGCCCGGCTACGGCTACTACATGGGCTCGGGCGCAGCGGCGGCCGGCGGTGGCAGGGCGGCGCAGGCGCCGGTGGACGGGTGCAGCGTGGCGCTGCGCGTGTTCGTGCTGGCGTCGACTCTGGTGTCCGCCGTGGTGATGGGCGTGGACCGGCAGACGAGCACCATCCGGATCACCATCTCCGACACGCTGCCGCCGCTGGAGGTGCCCCTCACCGCCAATTGGTCCTACTCCTCCGCCTTCGTGTAAGCCGGCCTCTCACTCTACTCTCTCTAGCTCTCTCTCTCTCTCCACCGCCGCTTGCTCTTGCTCGTCTTCTTGTCGTCGTCGTAGTGCTATCTTGCCACCGGAGAAAAGAAACAAAAGGCAAGAAAACTACTACGTACCGTGCGCTACAAATTCGATCACGAAACAAATTGTCTGCCCCGCATGTACACATGTCACACATGCTGCCACGCTGCAGTCTACTAGTCTCTATACGCTTGTTGTTTGCTGTATTTATATGTATTTATTTATAGTCTCTAGGTGTACTAGTTGTTATAGACGTCCACAGAGATGAGATGAGAGATGGATAGAGATGTGTATCGTTCCACGTACATGTTGCATGCTCAACACTCAGCAGCATATAGGTATGGATGGACTTTCACCGTTTATGATGGTGTTCCATACGTGTTGCCCCTGCTTCTAGTATGCGCGCGTATACGTGCATATATATCTGGATGACTGGATATATATGTCATTATATATTCCCACCGGCCAAGATCTCTCAAATCTTTATAGGGTGGAGGGTGGAGGGTGGACTGATAGAGAGAAACAAACAGACAAAATGCTTTCGCGAGGGCGATCGGCAGCAACCTCCATTGTCGTCGCGCTCTCCTTTTGGTTCCACGTCGTACGGGCAAAACAAAGCAGGCCTTCTCTTTCTCCTACCTAAAAAGAAACCTACACCCCTTTGATACTACAGACAAGGACGTCGCAACCAAATGGAATTCTGAAACAATATTAATTGTGGTAGAGCTGGTGTGAATTTTAGTTTTTTTAAAAAAAATCTTGATCCACTTTACGTAACCGAACTGTAAACATTACAAACAGTAGCTAGTATGTTGGATAGTTCATGATTTATCGTATAGTTAGGGACGTGTATACGATGTAATACGTGCAACAGCATGACACTGAACTTAGCTTAATATTGCAGTAGTACGAGAGTACATATCGTAGTGGCACTACGAGCTTGTACTAGTAGTAAATTGGGGCATCAGCCAATCTTTAGGATAGGATGCATGGGGGTGGCATAGAAAATGACAACACATACTCTCCACCTATATACGCGGCTAGATGGTGAGCGATCGAGGTCATATGCATAGCACACGACCTGGCGAAGGTCGGGGATGCGTGGCGCGTTGGGCACACCACGTGGCCTGTCCGTACCATTATTGTGCGAAAGCAGGAGACGACGACGAAGCTATGAGCTGATCGATCGTCATTCAAGATGGCAACGGGTACATACCTAATGGGTACTGCCCATCCGTATCCGCACCCGCCAGATTAAAATCTTACCCGTCGGTTTATCCGTACCCGTAGACGGGTAGAAAATTCATTCCATACCCGCACCCGACGGGTAATTCTTATCCGACAATATATCCGAGTTCACACACCAAAATATAATAGCTTCCAGTAAAACAAATCAACAATAGAGCAGCAAAACAGAAATATGGGCTGGTGGAGTGGAGTGAGGATGAGGATTAGGGTTTGAGGGAGTTTTGGAATATATATACTCATATGCTTATATGGGCTAAATATGAGCTATATGCTTATATGGGCTAAAACTGCAGAGGTTGGATATTATTTATGCGGGTTTTTTTTTTACCCGCGGGTATGCGGGTATGGGTAGTATACACCCACACCCGTACCCACATACCCGATGGATACAAGAATTCGTCCAATAACGTACCCGCGGGTGCAAAATGTCTTCCATACCCGCCTCCTTATCGGGTAAAACCCGTCGGGTACTTGGGTTTCGGGTACCCGTTGCCATCTTGGATCGTCATGCCTCATGCGTCGTGATCGTGGTCGATATGGACGGCTAACATAACACTACCCACCATCATCCCATTCATATATGGCTCTTGACACCAGAAAACATTTTTAGAAACGGCAAAAAATGATCTTCAGAGACCGTTTTAAAACCACTACTATGCCCGCGATCGTAAAAATAAGTGATCTTCAGAGGTGGTTTTAAAAATCGATTTTCAGAAGCGGTTGACTTAAGTCAACGGTCCCTAAAAATAATTTTCAATTTTTTTAAAAAATCATTTATAGTCTAATAAAAATAAGAAAAAAATATTTCTAATGTAGCCCGAAGGTTGAGGATCACACAGTCTAGTTCTACGATGCTATTTATTTGTACTAATATGTACTAATATGCACGAATTTTATAATCAATATTTTAACGCATAAACAATCTTAAATGAGAAAACTTTCAACTATAAAGTTTTATATCTCATGGAGCACTACAACTTCGTATAGAACATTTCTCCATCCAAGGTCATTTGAAAAATTAAAAAATTTAAAATTCAAAATCTAAGACTTAATTTATATATTTGAAACCCTAAATAATCTCAAACAAAAATTTTATCAACTACAAAATTTTAGATCTCGTCGAGCTCTACAATTTTAATATAAAGTTTGTCTTCATCTGACTTCATTTAAGAAAGATATGAATTTATTTGTGCAACCGCTATTTTTTAGGACAATTGACTTAGTCAACTGATTTTCAGAGGCGGTTCTCTGAATCACTCATTTTCAGAGACGGTTGACATGAGCAACCGTCTTTGAAAATAGTATTTTCAGAGGCGGTTCTCTTAACGGAACCGCTCCTAAAATAGATATATTTTTAGAGACGGATTTCTTAATGGAAGCACCTCTAAAAATTGATTTCTAGTAACGGTTATATAGCTACATTGCCTCCCGCGAAGGCCGCTTCTATTACAAAAGAAAGACGTCTTTAAAAATTATTTCTATACTAGTGTGATTCTGACAAACAAGGTTTTTAATTTCGGTGTCGCCAAAATTTCAGCCACCACCGAAATTACCGAATTTCGCGAAATTCGGCCGAAATTTCACCGAATTTTTTTTAGAGATTAGCACATGAAGTATGCTTTTTCTAAAAAAATTTGGATCTAAACAAATATTAGTATGATTTATGACTATATATCTATTAAATAGAAGAATATGCAATATAAACAATAGAAAAATATAAGATTAGAGTTATATAGCACATGTATTAGTGTATTAAAAAATTTCGGAGTTTTCTTTTGGCCACCACCGAAATTACCGAATTTAGTGAAATTCAGCCGAAATTTCGCCGAAATTTTGAACCCCGCTGACAAAGAAATTCCTGATGAGGTCCGAGCGGCCGCCGGTTGGCCCTTTAAAAAAAGGCGGAGCGGCCGATCGATCCGGATAGAGATTTGGCTTGGGGGATTGGAATCGGATCGACCATCTGCTTGCTACTCATCCAGCCTGACCGAATGATGACGTCGTCGTCGCCACTGGCCTGGCAAAGTCCAGGTAATTCCGTAGCATATGATGGGTCGCATGCTGGACCAGCCATTGCAAGGCAAGGCTATCCGATTCCGATCCAATGATGATCCATCCGCCGTCGACGCTTCCGGAGCCAAATGTAATGCTGGATTGCCTTTTTCAAAAAAAATTGCATTAATGCAAATCAGAGATGCGAGAGTTTAGTTGTCTCGCCTGTCCATTCCATGTGTTTTCCATTACTATCTGTTGATGCCAAACTCGTCTCGATCATCAGTTGCGTGCCCAGCTGCTGCACCGCCCGTATCCATCCACCGATCCCATCCATGGCTGATCGATGCTGCTTTTCATGTGTACCCGCATTATATTCAGCCCTTGTTTAGTTCGCGAAATTTAATTTTTTAGGCTACTGTAGCATATTTGTTTTTATTTGACAAATAGTGTTTAAACATTGACTAATTAGGCTCAAAACGTTCGTCTCGCAATTTCCCACCAAACTGTGCAATTAGTTTTTCTTTTCGTCTACATTTAATGCTCCATACACGGGCCGCAAACATTCGATGTGACAAGTACTGTAGCAACTTTTTAAAAATTAGGGTGGAACTAAACAAGGCGTCAGTTCGTTCCACGCTAGATTTGATTACCCGCGCGGTAGGCCCCGGTGAAATCTGAGATGAGCACGCAAAGCGGCAAAGGTGGTTCATCCATATTCACTTATTCACACAAGCTGTCCATCGTAGCGCTAGCTAGGACTATGAAAGGGTCATCGTGTGTATGTAAAATATATATGCAGTGTAGTAGGCACTAACCAATAATACTGTAGTAGTAGCAAACATATAGGAATAAGCATGTTCGGGAGGCCGTATCGTATCGTGGATTATTTACTGCTGGCTGATTTAGTGTGAGAAAAAACATGGTTCCCGGTTGAAAATTTACGATCGTTTACGAGCAAGTGAACAGGCTGCCGGTCTGAATGAAAACGATGCACACATCTACGATACAACGAACGCATTATTCGGCTAGCATTCAGGGCAACTGGTCCATCACCACCCAGACACGCACTCACTCCCTCTCGTTTTCAGTCACAAGCTCAAACCCCACCATTTATAATTGGGAGTACAGTACTTCCCCTCACTGTCTAAGAACAAGTATAATAACAGGCCGTAGGCAGGCTGAATGTTGAAGTGCAGAAAAGAGGAGAGGAGAGAAGAAATGGGCTATAAGTTAACAGCCGGTTTAGACATAAGAACCGAAAAACTCTGTAGAGAGACAAGTGGGCTATGTATTAATGCTGAAGAGCTCCCTACTATATGGGTGGCTAAGAGGTATGCTATAAAATCCTTACAACCAGCTGTATTATTAGCCTTGCTCTAATGGTCATGTGTTGCACTGTGTACGCACAATAAGACGTGTCAATGTCTGCATTTGTTCCTGCAAAATAGCTCATCGCTCTCTGAAACATCCAAGCTTAAATAAACACAGGGCCGCCACCGAATTTCATTTCCTCAAAATTAGTATATTTCACTTCCATCATACACTGATTAATTACTGAACATGCATGTGCTTCCATCCTTCCATGCATGTGTATACGCATGCAGGTACTTCGTGGTGGCGAACGCTATGGTGTGCCTGTTCTCGGCGGCGGCGCTGGCGGCGTGCCGGAGCCGAGCCGCCATGGTGCCCGTGATGGTGGGGGACCTGCTGGCGCTGGCGCTGCTCTACTCGGCCGTGGGCGCCGCCGCGGAGTTCGGCATCCTGGGCGAGCGCGGCAACTCGCACGTGCGCTGGGCCAAGGTCTGCAACGTCTACGGCCGATTCTGCGAGCGCGCCATGGCCGCCGTCATCGTCTCCCTCATCGGCGCCTTCGCCAACCTCGTCCTCCTCATGCTCAACATCCTCACCATCCACAAGAGCTCGTCCTACTACTAGCTAGGATAGAGAAGACAGGCAGGGAGATCTAGAAGACAAAACCATAATGTAATTAAGCTACTAATAGCTGTCGCTGGGGATTAATTAAAGATAGACAGACTACGCTTGCTTGCGCATTGGATGGCATTATATATATTGGAGACAGGTATAATTAGATGGACAGTTACGTTCAGTTAATTTCCATCTAGCCCTCAGAATCAGTACATACTAGTAATTAACAAGTAACTAACAGGTTATATGCGAGTCCTACTCAAACAACATGATCTGGTGATGAGGTATGTTGCGATGTTTTCTTCCTTCACCTTTATCAGGATTCATTTGATTCTCAATTTCTCAGTCCATCGCTACTGGGAGCGATCGAAAATCAATTTGCATACATTGGTCCATGGTCCGGCGACGATGGGTTCGCATTTATTGAAGTATAGCTAATGATACTTATTTGAATCATACATGTTAATCAATCTTAAAATTATTTGACTTATTGAAAAGTGAGTGCTGTATATTCTTATAAGGATGGAGGGGGTATATGTTAGATTAATTCATGTTTGAGCTCAAGGGTCAAAATTGGAATTGATATCATGGCAAATTGCATAAGGATCCGCATATGCATGCGTCATGCTAAACGGATATCATGGCACTTGCATGAGGAAATCTAACGAAATTGGGAGGCCAGAATGATAAATACACAAAGAAACAACAAAAAGGTAAATTTAAAGAAATTTAAAGAATATGGTACAAGAAAATGGGAGGGCATCAGCAATAAAATTTAAAGATACAAGTATAGCTAGATAATACTACCTCCATCTAAAAAGAATACAATTCCATATTTTAATTGATTAAGTTTGTAGAAAATATTACTAGCATTTACCACTCCAAATAGATATTCTATAAGAATATAGAATATATATTTTATATTTTATATTTAATCTAAGTAATATTCGTTATTATAAATGTCAGTATTTTAGTAGATCTATTAATCAACTTAAAACTGTTTGATCTATTGAAAAGTTATAATTGCATTCTTAGGACCAAGGAAATATATGTTTGAACTCAAGGGTCCAAACCGGAATTGATATCATGGCAAAATGCATAAGGAAATCTGCATCTACATGCATCATAGTAACGGATACCATGACAAATTGCACAAGGAAAAGGCCAGGATGATAAATACATGAAGAAATAACAAAAAGTAAATTTAAAGAATATGGTGAAGGAAGATGGTGGCCAGCAGAACTAAATTTTAAATAATATGGTACAGGAAAATAGGAGGCCAGTGAAAAAAAAAAAAGGATGATAAATACATGAAGAAATAACAAAAAGTAAATTTAAAGAATATGGTGGCCAGCAGAACTAAATTTTAAAGAATATGGTACAGGAAGATAGGAGGCCAGTGAAAAAAGAAAAAAAAACATGTTGAGAGTGGGATGTAAACCCAAGTCCTTTCGGATAAAAAAAGAAAAAGAAAACATGTTGAGAGTGGGATCTGAACCCACGCCCTTGTGGATCACATGTGTTTTCTTGACTAAAGCCCTCTACCATCATGAATGTTTCATATATGTATTCAATATAAATTAATTACGAAACTAATTGTAAATGTTTCTATTTGCCATTAATTTCATCTCAGACGAATCTTTTTTAAGCCTAATTAGTCCATCGATTTGACAACGTGGTGCTACACTAAGCATATGCTAATGATAGATTAATTAGGCTTAAAAATCATCTTCAGCCTGATTAGCCTTCATCTATGTAATTGATTTTGTAATTAATCTATATTTAATACTCCTTATTAGGCACTAAATATTCAAACCTGGTATTTCGTACAGTCGTGGAAAGCTCATAGGAGAACCAAATGATTTTTAATGGGCACCTTAGACCAACTCAGACATCTCAAAGTTTGGTTTAAGTGTATCACATGTGTTTTCTTGACCGAAGCCCTCTCAACCATCGTGGTGTCAGGTGTTTCACATGTATCTTCTTGATTTAGCCTCTCTTTAGCATCGCACGCGTCCACGGATTGGTCGCAAGGAAATCCTAACTCGAGAGGTCACCATTTCTTCATCGATTTTTCTCTCACATCAATGAGGTGCACCTAAGAGACCGGTAGACTTATCGCTGACTCCATCCCAATCTCAATGCCAGACCAAAGATTTATCATCACAATGTGCCTATGTTTCTATGGTACCATTATTATCATCTCAACGTGCCTCCATGTTTCCATGACACCATCGTGCTACATCGACAGGTAGAACACACATCCAGTGATGTGTATTATTACTCCATCGTGCCTCCATGTCTTCAGCCTGAACTGATCAAGAACAAGTTCCTCATTTTTCTGTATATTGTACTAAATCTGTGCAGCTGACAATTCAGGCACAAAATTGAGGCATCAAACATAGGTATTTCGTACAGTCGTGAAGGTCATAGGAGAGTGTCTATGATTTTCATGGATGGGCAATCACTGATCTGCCTCGTATCATGGTTATCAAGACATTTCAGAAAAGTGAACTCAGCCTTTACATTATTCCTTAACTCCGTATTTACCTGAAAACAGTAGCCATCGCACGCGTCCACGGATCATGGTCGCAAGGAAATCCTAACTCGAGAGGTGACCGTTTCTTCATCGAGGCAGTAGAGAGCATCGATGAGGTGCATCCTAAGAGAGGCAGGCCCCTTGGCTGACTCCATCCCAATCTCACCCGCCAGACCAAAGATGGCAAGAGCACATGCTGCGGCAACTATGGCATCCGAAGGTTCCATGGCGACAAATGCAGCAATAAGAGCAGTCACAGCGCACCCTGTTGCGGTGATCTTCTGCATCATGGGCACACCGTTGCTCACGCTGACAACCTGCTTCCCATCAGTGATGAAATCAACAGCTCCGGATACTGCGGCGACAGCGCTGCTTGACAGTGCCAATGCTTTTGCAGCTTCAATAGCATCCATAGAGCCATGTGAACTGTCCACACCCTGCAATTTGATCAGAAGTTGATTCTAGTGGCAGCAAGATGGGAATGGAATACGTACTATTACTGGTGTATTTGTGTTTCTAATATGCATAGTACGGAGAGAAGGGGCCTAGATATTCCTGGAGTCCTAAAAGGGTATAATTTGGCATGGATCAACATAAAATCGTACTGAAACTAGCCATAACACTCAGGAGACTAACAAGTACACATGCTTGTCATAGGCCATGGAGAACTGTGAAGAGTAAAGGAGAATGGAAATAATCACACAATAGAAATGTAGCAGAGGAGAAAAGGTTTATGCAATGATTTACATTTTAAATTTTCAGAACATGGTGATAACATTATAGTATAATTTCTTGTTTTGCGTTTTTTCAATTAACTAATGGGTATTTTAGTCCTAATACTCCTAGGCTGTGACACTTATAAACCAATCAAACAGTTCCTCCATCTAGTTTAGTTAACCCTTGTTTGGATCCACGTGTATTCACCTGGGATGGAATGGAATGGAATTTAGTTTAATTTCACTCCAATTCACTTCAATTACACGTGGATTGAGACGAATACATGCACATTCAAACAAGGCCTTAGATTTTATTACTTGCTTGGATTTGAGTTAGGAGCATGTGAATCATATACAGATTTGAACTTTAAAAGTTGCGGTTTGTGAGGACGCAAGATTTCCATTTTATTTACCTCAATTCAGTTAAATCACTGTTTTTCATAGTGCAGCTAGGCAGTGCGATCCATAATAAATCCATATAATCTCGTTAGTCTTTCTCTTATCCTTGATTGCATTGGAATTACTGAAGAAAGAACAGAACAATGCCGGGAGAAGGTAGAGAAGTACCTTGAAATTGGAAGAGGCGGCGGCTGAGCGGGAGGCGAGCGCGAGAATCTCAGAGGCGTTCCCCCTGACGACTGCTGGGCAGAGCGAGAGGAGCTCGAGGCAGGCTTCCATCCGGAACCCGGAGGCGGCGGCGGCGACGGGGTCGAGCACCCACGGGCGGCCAGCGGAGGCGGCGGCGCGCATGGAGGGGAGCCAGTCCTCCGAGAGCGTGCCGACGTTGACGTACACGGCGTCGCAGCGCGGGGTGAAGTCGGGCACCTCGCGGAGGGAGTGGACCATGGCCGGCGAGGCGCCCGCGGCGAGGAGCACGTTGGCGGCGATGTCCATGGAGACGAGGTTGGTGATGCACTGCACTAGCGGCGCCCGTGCGCGGACAGCGGAGAGGAGGGACCACGCGCGGTGGCCCCACCACACCTGATCCCTCTCCTCCTTCGCGCCAACGTCCATGGCAGCGGCCGGCGGCGGTAAGGGAACTCTTAGGCTTTTCGGCTTTCGGGAGGGTCAAGGATGGACACGCGTTGGAATCCGGGTGATGAATGAGCTGAATGGGCGCTGCAGGAGGAGCGTCTTTATTCGGAGCTGAATGCTTAACCATCCCCACTCCATCCCCTTGACTTATAAGCTTGATCGATGTTTTACCGCTTCGCTTGATCGTTTGCATCGATTATAAGTCACAATCAGTGGTAAAAAAACACTGACAATACACATTAGCAATTGGTCTTAGGATTGCGAAAATGAAAATTTAATAATCATATTAAGCAGTATCAAATGAAAAATTGAATCCTTGAAGTTGGTTTAGTAATTCTGTAATGTAATAATTGGAGTTATAATCATGTTAAACTTGTTTGTTGTAAAAAAGTTCACTTTGACATATACACACTAGCAATTGGTCTTAGGATTGCGAAAATGAAAATTTAATAATCATATTAAGCACAGTCTCAAATGAAAATTTTTGAAAGAACATCCCATGTTGAAGTTGGTTTAGTTCAATTCATTGATGGATGCCTAATAATAAGATGGTTGTTAGTTAGATAGAAGCTTAGTCGGATCTCTCTTATTTTGAGCTACTTGTTTGTTGCATTGTCTCGTTATTATAGAATTAAGATCACAATTCTCAGCAAATATAAATTCGTATAGATTAACATATTTTGTGAAAGAACACTACGTACTTTGGCATGTGTGACTGCGGTCGAAGTTCAATTCATTGATGGATGCCTTACTAATCTCCGGTAACTAAGATTGTTGTTATCTATGGAAACTGCTGTTAAGCTGAGGTACTCGGATCTCTCTTTCTTATTATTTGGTAAGAGTGCAGTTTTACAAATTTTATGGTTCGAGGACTTGAGGGGAGATGCTTTGACGCACGGGCATGTTTCTTTTGGGCCATGTTTAGATTATAAAAAATTACAACCCGAATAGACACGGAAATATATATCTCGTGATTTCTAACTAAACTGTGAATAAACATTTAATGCCTCCGATACAAATAGTTAAAATTGATGTGACCGAGAGACCTCTTTTGATGGCACGGAAATATATAGCAAGCTAAATCGCCTCCGACCGACCACCTTTTTCTTCCCGCCGTGCCCCTACTCCCCTCGATCCTCGACTCGAGTCCCCCCTTCCCGTCTCACGTTCTTCACCCACCCACTCCTGAGTCCTGACTCCCCTCCGCCTTAAACCCACGCAATCCAGCGGAGGAGCCCATCTCCGCCCCCGGCGACGCCGCTCAAACCCTAGCCGCTCCGCCCGCTCTGCCACAGCAAGCCATTGCCCCACCCCGAGCCCTAGCAACACCATCCTCCTCATAGTCCTTGACAACCGTCGGGAACAGTACTTCCCGAAGATGGCGGCCGAACCCGCCGCTGCTTCGGCGGCGGCCGCGATCTCCGCCGTGATGGACTGGCGCTCCTCCCCCGACGCCCGCGCCGCCGCCTTCGCGTACCTCGAATCGGTCCGTGCTACTCCGGGGGCCCGTCACCCTCCTCTTTCCCTTTGGGCTTCGCTCTCCCGACTCTGCTTTTGTTTTGCTCTCGCCACCGGTGTTGCAGCGTGGTGCGGAGCGCTTGCTTGGTACATGGCGCTTGTTGTGGCTGGATTTTTGCCTAATCCATGAACTGCTGTTTCACGGGCTTTGCGGGTCGATAGCAAATGTTGAAGTGGTTGTTACACTACTGGGCATTTGGTTTTACTTAGTTATTTTTGTGTCTATCATCGGTCCATAGAGTTCTTAAGTTTGTGTGATTGCTACCACTGTTCTGTTCATCGCTTGAGCTAGCGTCTAATGGCTAACACCGCTCCAACTACTGAAGTTTCTATTCCTTACTCTGACTGCACATTCCTGCTGCTATTCTAGAAATCCTGTGATGCCCTGTTTCTCCTAAATGCAATGCAGACAGTGTGCTAACAAGGCTCACTAACTACAGGTTAAGAGTGGAGACGTCCGAGCCTTGGCAAGCACATCGTTTCTCTTGGTTCGGAAGGACCAGACGTCAGAGATCCGCTTGCACGGGTTCAAGATGTTGCAGGTAAAGCTTGAATCCTGTCTCTGTCTTTGTGATTCTTTTGATTGGGATTGTATGGATTGCTTTAGCAATAAGTAGCATAAAATCTGTACACTCCCCAGTTGTTCTTGCGGTATTTGGTTAGGACTTCAGGTGCACTTTGAGGTCAACACTCAAATTTCACAAAGCTACATGAGCAATAACAAATATGTGGAAACCTGTTGCTTACTTGCTTTTAGTAAATGTGGACATCTTAACATGCACTTTTTCCTTAATGGAGGCAATAGCGTTTCATTTTCTATCCCTATTGAACTTGTCTAAACACTGACCCATATATTTCTTTGCAAGTGATTAGTATAGTTGGTGTTAGATCAAATTGAGCATGGCACTGTTCTTTGATTTGGTCTGGCTGCTTTGTTATAAGTTATTTGGCAACTACAACTTTTTACTTACCTTGCTAGCAATTGCCTTTCCTATGGTTGAATCATAGTGGTAAAGCCATTCTGTGATGATTATGGTCTTGTTGATCACCACGATCTTGGTGTTCATTACATTGATTACTATGATCTTTGTTGTCATTTTTCATTGAACATTGTAGTTTTTCAGAGAAAACATATTTTCTTTATCTGTAGTTACCATTGTATTGTACTCCTGTAGGTCATTATTGTTTGCCTGTGTCCAGCACAAGCACAAGAGATAAGAGCATATAAATGGCCAAGACAAAATATCCATAGTAAATGCAGTGTACTTGTATTCTTTTACTGTACTTGTTGTAAATCACCACAGGTTCACCTCTTATCTTACCGCTTGGATTACAACTGGTGCACAGATGGAGTTGATTCCCTGGATTCAGCGTAATTCTTATTAACTGGGTTTTTTACAACAGAAAATAGGCACCAGTTTATTTTCTTGCCTCATTCACTGCATCCACCTAGCATTAATTTAACAAGCTGATGAATAAATGTGGTATTGAGTTGCATGCACCGACCAGTTCAACCCAAAAGCTTAAGCTGATGGGGAGAGGTGGGCAATTCATTATATTCCAACACTTCCCCTCACGTGGAGGCTCCCTTAGGCCTCAGACATGGAATAGGAGCGAGCAGCAATTATTTTATTTTAATTGCGCTAACCAGGATTTGAACTCAAGACCTTTAGTTTTGATACCATATTGAGTTGCATGCACCAACCAGTTCAACCCAAAAGCTTAAGCTGATGGGGAGAGGTGGGCAATTCACTTATATTCCAACATGTGGAGCCAACAAAAATTATCAGAGGCATTTTAGAATGATCAGATCAGTGCCGGAGCATGATAGAAAAATAACAGAGGTCCATCTGAGCAAACCAAAAGCAACAGTAACAACAACAAAGCCTCTTATTCCCAGATAAGTTGGGGTAGGATAGAGATGAAACTCAACATGAGGAAAAGAAAGAAAATAAATAATTGAATAGGGTAAAAAAGAAAAATAAGAGGTATCAGTAATAGTAATGGAAATAGTAAATGGGGACTGACCGTCTAGCCGATGTTATTGGTATTCGGATTGTTGTTTTCCATGTGTGCCTAACCAATGCTTGTTCTTTGGGTAGTTTCCTACCCTTCTCTAAGTCTCTACTCCCTCCTCTTATGTCCTGTGTCAGGTTTGATCAACCCCTGCCTCTTTTCACACTAGTCACACTCACACCTTAGGATTTCTCTATCCTCTGGTGCCTCTGTAGGCCTCCGTAGGATATGTCCGAACCATCTCAACTGATGTTGTACAAGCTTTACCTTAATTGTTGCCACCCCTACCCTATCAGGTGATTACCTATATTGTTGATTCAAACTTGATCCTTCTTATTATGACCACAAATCTATCACAACATGCACATCTCTGCTATGCTTAGCTCCTGGATGCGCAGCTGTTTTAGCTGGTCAATATTCTCCGCCAGGCAACATCTTGGGCCTAATCGGCTAATCGCCATGGTGGAACTTATCCATTAGCTATACTAGAATTTATAATCATGATTGTGCTGTACAGCTTTTTATAGAAGCAGAACTATATCTTAGTGGTTTCCATTACTCTCTCTCCTGGATCAATTGATGATTTCTTACTTATTTTTGCAGCACCTGGTAAGATTGAGGTGGGAGGAGCTCAGTGCTGCAGAGCGGAATGAATTTGCTAATTTGACAATTAATTTGATATCGGATGTTGTTGGCCCTCATGAGGTGTGGGCCTTGAAGAGTCAAACAGCTGCTTTAGTAGCAGAGGTTTACCACTATACCTTTGTTCTTTTCATTTTTACTTTGTGAAATTCGTTAGCTGTAGGCAGTTACAACTTCAAGTACTCTACCTTAGCAAGTATCTCCTCTTTGTAGGTAGTTCGAAGGGAGGGAGTTGATTTGTGGAATACTTTATTCCCATCTATTGTTTCTGTCTCTAACAGTGGCCCTATTGAGGTAATGTTTCCCATCAGCCTTTCAGGTTTAGATCTGTTCTACCATCTGATAGGTTGAATTGCATTTTGGAACCTTCTTGTGTTAGGCTGAGTTAGTTGCCATGATTCTAAGGTGGCTTCCAGAGGATATCACTGTTCATAATGAAGATTTGGAGGGTAAGTTACTTTTTAATTTATTATCTGTGTTCAGGACTTGAAACTAGATTCATTCTCTGATTCCAAGTTTAAACCATCAAATTAGAAGAATGGAAAACCTTTTCTCTTCTGTTATTAGGTTATGTTATGTGTTCTCTTCTGTTAACATCAAATTAGAAGAACGAAAAACCTTTTCTCTTCTGTTATTAGGTTATGTTATGTGTTCTCTTCTGTTAACATCAAATTAGAAGAATGGAAAACCTTTTCCTCTTGTGTTAGGTTATGTGTTCTCTTCTGTAAACTTCTTTTTGTCACAATAGGTGATAGGCGGAGATCTCTGTTACGCGGCCTTACTGAGTCACTGTCACAAATTCTACCTCTATTGTATTCTGTAAGTTTGCCTTTACACCTTCACCTTGTCCAATAGGTGCCAATGGTTCTGTTGGGTTGCCTTGGTTCATGATACTCTGAAGCATACTAACCACAAGTATCATGTAATGTCTTGTTTTGTAGCTACTTGAGAAACATTTTGTTGCTGCTTTAAGCGAGCATGCAAAGCAGCAAATGGATTTGGCGAAACAACATGCAGGGACAGTGACGGCAGTTCTGAATGCTGTCAATGCATATGCTGAATGGGCCCCTGTGACAGATCTAGCCAAATATGGTTTAATTCATGGGTATGTTTACTGGAGCATTTGATATCCCTAGTTTTTTAATGGGATTCTCACTTGCCTCATAGTTCTGTTCATTTTGCAGATTTGGGTCCTTGCTTTCTTACAGCGATTTTCGCCTCCATGCTTGCGAGTTTTTTAAAGTGATATGCCAGAGGTATGGAGAGACTTTATGTACACTAAAAGTTAATTTCACTGGTTTTTCCCTCCTGATATGTTCTTGCTTTTGTGGTGCCACCTGTCTCAGAAAAAGACCTGTGGATGTGGCAGTTGCTGAGTATGATGCTGCAATGTGCAACATTTTCCAGGTGTTGATGAACATTTCACAACAATTTTTGACCAGATCTGGCATGCAGCCCAGCTCTATTGATGAGAGCGAATATGAGTTTGCATCGTGTGTTTGTGAGACAATGGTTGCTTTAGGATCTTCAAACATGCAATGCATACTAGCCGATGGAGCCAGGACTTTCCAGTTCTTACAACAAGTGAGCATTTCCAAATACACTTCTCATACTTTTTAAAGAGTAAAGGTTATTTTTACTGCCGTGCAGCATCTTCTCTTGATCCCTTCTAATTTGTTCTAGGGCTATTTGGCATCTAGGGTATCAAAAGAAATATATCTGGGGTTGTTGAAATTTTGGGAAAGGCTGTCTATTTAGTTGTTGAAATATGAATTTCTCACTTAAAACTTGAGAATAAAGATGCCTAAAAAACTGAGTTTGACAAGAAAGTGGTACTGCTGTACTTGCAACTTGCAAGATCCTAAGTTTTTCTATGTGGTGTTAGGATTGAATTCGACAACTGCCATACCTATTTTTTTCATAAATTTAAATGGAAAAGCAAAATAAGTGTAGCTAATGTGGGATTCAACCCACTCTGTGACACATGCATGTTAATCTTGCCACCAGGACCTGCTGCCTTGATCATGGTTGTGTAACTTTCTTATGATTAACTCTTTAAATTCAAAATCAAATGAAACTTTTTGGCTGTTTATAAGTTATATTGGCACATCTGAAAGTCTGGCTATCCTAGAATATTTGGTTCCTGGCTGGCAGGTAAGGGTAATGGTTACTAATGCGATGATGTCCTATATGTATTACATGTGGGCAATGCCTGTTTACCTGTGTAACATAACATCACCACATGGCTATTTTGAATATGCTTAATGAAATTCAATCAAGTCTTAAAATTTCACTGACATGATTTCCACGCGTTACCACTTGGTCTCTTACTTTTTGCTATTCTTCAAACAAATTTCGTTTCCTTGCAGATGCTGGAGTATTACCAACATTACAAAATCGCGCTTCATTTCCAGTCTTTATTATTTTGGCTGGTATACTCCTTATCTCTCTTTGCATAGCTGAAATGCATCTCATATTATTTTGTAACTTTAGAGAAGTTGACACAAACTTTGTCTAGGTGGTATTGAGAGAACCATCAAAAGCTAAGTCTGTTGCACGTGTTTCTGGTGATAATTCTGCTGCTGGTAATTCTGCATCTACTGGTGACTTATCAACAGAAAAGGAGAAGAAAGGGGTATCAGTATTTGTCACTGACGAAATATACAGTACAATTTTGGATGTTTCTTTCAAGAGAATGCTCAAGAACAGTGGAAGTGCAACTTCTGGGTTGTTAGAACTATGGAGCGAAGAGCTTGAGGGGAAAAGTGACTTCTGCAACTACCGCACCAAATTGGTATGTTTTCTTTTCTCCTGACTTCTAAAAATAGGATTTGCCTTTTGTCCTTGTTAATCTTAAAAGATCATTTGTGGTTTCCCTTGTCCATCAATATAATTTCTTGTCATCTCTTGTCTTCATTGGTCTTGATTCTTGAAGTTTTGTTACATGATGCGAATCTACTCAAAATTAGGAGGATGGCTAGTTATTCATAGTACATTTCTATGTCCTTCAATTAGTGATTCTTTACCTTGATAGATACAACATGCTTCTCCTTTCTTCAAGTATCCAATTTGATTGCTAAGGTTTGCCATACTAGTGGAACTTTTCGTATTGTAAATACTTGGGAGGATCCCAGCTATATATATGTATGCATAAGTTATAGAAGGCTATTTACAGTACCTTTTTTTGGACCAATGATGGATATTGTCTGGCCTCTTATTGTCCACAACTCAGTTAACTGTGTCTTATGCATCTTCTTGCAGTTGGATCTCATTAAAGTCATTGCTTCTCAAAGATCTGTGATTGCTGCAGCAAGTATTGTTCAGAGAATAAATGTTGTCTTTGGAGATGCTAATCAAGCAACTAAATCCCCCCAGGTTGGATTAGCTGCATATGTTTACCCAATGTTTCAAAAAGTTCTAGGCACTAGGCAGGTGGTCAAGCTCTGCTTAGCGCCTAGGCATTGCATAAGAATTTCTTGGCAATTGTACTTTTCAATCAGTAGAGTTACAGCACAATGTTAAATACAGAATTTTGGCACATTAAAAGAAACAATTTGGCATTATCATGCACCCATCATGAGTTCTATGACCATAAGTCACCTTCCATCATCTCCAATGTGTCCAAAATTCATACAGAGATCAAGCCCTAAGCCACTCTTGATGGGAAAACGCCTAGGTGCTAGGAAAGGCAGTGCTGCTTGCCTATTGCCTAGATGCTGCCTATGATCTCTTTTTGAAACAGAGTTCTTACCGCATAAACCTAAATTAATGGTTTCTCTTTCCATTTTCATTTGGTCAATGAAGGGTTACCTTCTAATTCAGATGTTTATCTACCTCTGCAAAATGAAATTTGGTTCCAGGATCTTGACGCAATGGAAGGGGCTCAACTGGGGCTTGAAGCAGTTGTCAGTGCTATTTTTGATGGCTCATTTGATTGTGGAAAAACTGATTTGGAGACGAAATCCCAACTGCACAAGATTTTTGAAGGTTTCACCGAACCTAACTTACTTTATTTTGGCCTTACAGTTTGGTCGGTGCTAAATTTCCTTCTGCTTGTCAACCAGGCTTACTTCAACAGCTTCTTTCGTTAAAGTGGACAGAACCTAACCTTGCAGTTATTCATGGTCATTATTTGGATGCTTTGGGCCCTTTCTTGAAATATTATCCAGATGCAGTTGCCAGTGTTGTTAATAAGCTTTTTGAACTGTTGACGTCTCTCCCAATCACATTTCAGGTACATTTACATTTTACTTAAGTAAATACCATAGTACTATGATGCTGCGGAGTGTGAACCATTGAGGCTGGAGATTGATAGCCATCATATAATTCAATTCTATGAGTGATGTTCTAGAAATGAAAAACTGATGCTACTTTGAGCTGGACAAATGTTTCCACGTGCAATCATTTCATGCTGTTTATTTTTATTCTATTTAGTTAATTTGAATTATTTGGTTATCATGCCATTTTTCTAGTTTTGTGTTTACAGTTCTTTTTTTTTTTTTCTCGAACATGCAGGAGAGCTGCGTATCATTGTATTAATAGAAAAAGAGAGCCATACAGTGTTTACAGTTCTCATTTCTGCCATTTAATGTATGGCTGTATCTGCAGGATCCATCAAACAATTCTCGCCTAGCAAGGTTGCAGATCTGCTCATCATTCATTCGTATATCGAGAGCTGCTGATAAAGCTCTTCTGCCTCACATGAAGGTCAGGCTCAGCTCATAGTTGATTGCCACTTTACCACTTGTTGTCTTATATTCTACATGGAGTTGCTTAATGACACATCCTTTTATTATCATGGCAGAGACCACTTACAGTACTATATTCAAGTTTCTAACTGCAGTTGTGTCTATTAAATTCATTTCTCTGTTTATCCTTCTATTTACAAGAGGGAAGATGGAGACTTAATGGTCTCTACGGTGCTTTCATTGATGGCTTTAGGCTCCATTTGATATTATTATTTTTTTTCTCGAACAACGCACGAGAGCTGCGTGTCATTTCATTAAGAGAGAAAAGATAGTACAAAAGTCCGGTTAAGGACTAAAACCCCAGCCAAGAACACACCCCCACACTTCTACAAAAAGAGGCCTATATACGCGCCACAGACACAAACACGACCTCGACCAAATACCCCCAGACCTATGCTGTTGGGGCCTGCGACCTCACCAGGAGTTCCTGGAGCTTAAATGCTCCAGCCATCCCCCAAATGTTGATCTCATCAGACACTGTCTGGAGCAGCAAGGAGATGTTGGGTCTAGCATTCTCAAAAACACAAGAATTTCTGTGCTTCCATACTTCCCAGGAAACCAAAATAATTAGTGAGTTAAGTCCTTTCCTTATCCCCTTCGGGACTGCGCTCAGAGCCCTCTTCCACCATAAGGAAAAACGAGTCTCAGAAACTGAGGGAGTCAGGTCTGACAGATGAAGAGGTTGGAGGATCAGGGACCAAATCTGTCTTGTAAAAACACAGCCAACCAATATATGCTGAATGTTTTCCTCCTCCTGATCACAAAGAGGGTAGACTTCATGATGAGGCAATCCTCTTTTGGCAAGGCGGTCCGCAGTCCAACATCTATTGTTGATGGCTAGCCAAATGAAGAATTTGCAACGGAGAGGCGCCCAACTCTTCCATATCCTCCTCCAGGGAGCAAATTTAATAGTTCCTACAAAAAATGCAGCATAGGCCGACTTGCTGCTATATACTCCATTCTGTGAGAGTTTCCATATTATTTGATCTGGAACTTCTTGCTGCAAGACAACTCCCTCAACATGATCCCAAATCCGAAGATATTCCAATATAACCTGAACTGAGCGAGTACCCTTGATGTCTGTAACCCAACTTCGATTGACAAGAGCTTGTGCAACTATCCGTCTTCTAGTTATCCTTTTAGGGATGGCCTTGAACAGGTTGGGAGCCACTTCCTCTATAGTTTGTCCATCAATCCACCTGTCTTTCCAAAAGAGGGTGGAAGCACCATTTCCCACAATATGGTCGACTGCCATCTTGAACAATGCCTCGGCATTATGAGGAACCTGAATTTGGAATCCAGCCCAAGGCCGAGAAAGATCCATTTTTTGAGCCCACAACCATCTAACCCATAGTGCCCAGCCAAGGGTTTCTAGATTAGGAATCCCCAATCCTCCATACTCTAGAGGCCGCTGTACTCTTTCCCAGGACACCAAACAATTGCCCCCATTGGCTTGTTCCTGACCCTTCCAAAGAAATCCCCTTCTCCTCTTGTCAATGGCTTTTAACACCCACTTTGGCAGATCGAGAGCCATCATGGAATAGATGGGAGTGGCCGATAGAACCGCCTTGACCATTACCAACCGACCTGCTCTGTTCATTAGGGATGCCTTCCAACCAGGCAAGTGATTAGCCACTTTGTCAATCAAGGGCAATAGCACTTCCTTGGTGGGTTTGTTGATGGACAGAGGCAGCCCAAGGTAAGTGCAAGGGAATTCCTTAACTGAACAAGATAGAAGTTCAGTAGTGATACTTAATTCATTCTCGGAGCAATGAATGGGAGAGATGGAGCTTTTCACTAGATTGGTATGGAGTCCAGACGCATGACCAAACAGGTCCAGGATGTTTATGATCACCAGCAGATCAGTTCTCCCCGGCCTAAGGAAAATGACAGCATCATCAGCAAAATAGGATACCCTATGCCGAGCATGTTGGACAACAAGTGGCTGAAGCAAATCCTCTCTCGCCGCGTACTCCACTAGAGAGTCAAGCACATCCATGACTAGAATGAAGAGCATGGGGGAGAGTGGATCACCCTGCCGTAGGCCTCGACTATGAAGAATAGAATCCCCAGGCTCCCTGTTCACCAACACTCGAGTGGACGAAGTTGACAGAATTAAACTGATCATGTCCCGCCATTTTTGCCCAAAACCCAACTGTCTCATTACCTCCAAGAGAAAGGACCATGAAACTGAATCGAATGCCTTGGAAATATCCAACTTTAGTAGAATATGGGCCTCTTTCTTCTTGTGCAAAGATTTCACCATTTGTTGGACAAACAGGAAGTTATCATGAATATTTCTTCCCCTGACAAATGCGCTCTGATTTTTTGAAACCATAGAAGGCAGCAGTGGAGCAAGCCGGTTGGCCAAAACTTTTGTTACTAATTTGGCAAAACTGTGAATCAAACTTATAGGCCGATAATCCTTGACATGCAGAGCGTCCATCTTTTTGGGCAACAGGGTGATGAAAGCAGAGTTAAGTAGTCTAAATTTGAACACATGCCCTCGATGTATAGAATGGAAAGCAGCCAGCAAGTCACTTTTGATAATATTCCAGCAAGACTTATAGAAACAACCTGTAAAACCATCTGGTCCCGGTGCTTTATCAAGGGGCAAATCGCTGATGGTTGCCCATACTTCCTCTTCTGTGAACGGGTCCTCCAGGGAGGATAGGTCCGTAGGCTGTACGCCAATCTCATCAAGATTAATTGAGAAATTCCGCTCTTCCGCCGTACCAAGCAACTTGTCATAAAAATTTAGGACTGCTTCCTGTTTGTCTTCTTGGGAGGTAACCAGCCGGTCCTCTACTTGCAACTTTGCAATAAAATTCTTCTTCTTTCTGAAGTGAGCTTGCTAGTGGAAAAACGATGTGTTTGCATCACCTTCCCGAAGGTAAAGGATCCTTGAACGTAGACGGGCGATGGTTCGTTCAAGGGAGGCCAAACCAAGGCAATGGAGCTTGAGCTTCTTGCGCAACCATTCCTCACTAGCAGATAGCTCACGGGAGTCCCTTGCAATCTCAAGCGGATGAATAATCTCCTTGGCCATTTCTATCTGCAACTTAATGTTCCCAACCTTCCTTTGACCCCACTTTTGAAGACCTCTGCTAAGGCGTTGTAGCTTGAGAAAGAGGCGCTCCACTGCACAGTTTGTTTGCACAGGAGCCTCCCAATTCTGCTGCACCGCCTCCAAAAAACCTGGAACCTTGGTCCAGAAACTTTCAAAATGGAAGCGTCGCTTGCCGGTTATTTTAATCTTTAAACCTAGAATTAGGGGGCAATGATCCGACACTCCAGAAGCAGCACTTTGCAATATAGAGCCAGGAAAAATATCCTCCCAATCCGAACAGCAGAATGCTCGATCCAGCCTTACCAGGGTGGGTGACATCCTTTCATTGGACCATGTGTATTTTCTGCCCAATAGCGGTAATTCTTTGACCTCAGAGTCATCCAAAAAGCGGCGAAATCTACCCATCATGGCTCTGTCCAGATTGGCATTATTCTTATCTGCTGCCTGGTAGATTAAATTGAAATCACCTGCAAGCAACCAAGGACCATTGCATAGACCTCTGATGTTTCTGAGCTCCTGTAAAAATAATACCTTCTCCTCATCTTCTTGAGGGCCGTACACTCCTGTGAACCACCAGTTACGGCCCTCCTGTTCCGAGAACCAAACAGATACTGAAAATGTATCCACTCGAGTAGCGATGGCTTGGCAGGTATTGCTCTTCCAGGCAATCAGAATCCCGCCCCTAGTTCCATTAGCCGGTAAAGCAACAAATTTATCATATGAGGAGCCAAAGACAGATAGAAACACTCGTTGATTCATATGCTCAATCTTAGTCTCTTGAAGACATACTATCTCAGCATTACTCGAGAGTATGACATCCCTTACTGAGTTGCGCCTAGCAGCATTATTATTGAGCTGAGTTTTTGCTTCACTATGAAGTTTATATCAGTAGCATCTCTGTGCTGGGCTGCATAATGGAATATATATTTGCTGCTAGAGAAACCTTTATTCTATTAAGGTTTGATGTCATGGCTCTGAAAAGCCATTGCAAAACCAAACCAAGCCTAAATAAAGACTTCTTAATTGTTCAGATTTTTATGTACATTCTCAGGTTTAAATTTTTATGATTTCTGACATGAAGGATGTATTTAAACAGAGTTCAGATTCTAGCTTTGTCCCAAAAAGAATAAAAAATAGGGACCCAAACTAGGAATTTAAAAGTGATGATTTTTTTCGATATTCTATTAGTCTGGGTCTTGTTATTTGGTATCCTCTGGGGAACCTTGCCAGAGTTTGCTACCCTTGTATTTGCTTTGTGGCCTTGTAAGGATTGTAAATACATGCAGGTCATGTTACACTGAAATCTTTTAGTCTTATCCAATTACCCAGCCCTTTTGAACTACAAATGACCGTTACAGTTCTATGATATATGTAAACTAATGATTGGTACATGTCATGTTACATTGAAATCTTTGGGACATGCATGTCCTAAACCTGGTCACTGGTTGGTGGCAGACTTGCATTCTTGAGTAGAAGAGGATTTGATTAAATCAGAACGCAACTGTTTTTCTAGGGCTTCCATTCATCCATGCTTTTATGTTGCTTTCACCATTGTTTATGCCCTCTTTTGATTGTTTCAAATGCTTTTCCAATGACACAGAACATTGCTGATACCATGGCTTACCTTCAAGGAGAGGGCCGCTTACTACGTGGTGAACATAATCATTTATGTGAAGCGTTTCTTGTGATGGCGTCCTCTGCTGGGTATTTGGCTGCTAAACCTCTGTGTATTTATGCCTGCAGCCTAAAAATAGTTTTAGTGTTGCTTGTCACAATTTGTATTTTTTTGTTTCCATAGGATTCAACAGCAACAAGAAGTTCTTGCCTGGTTACTTGAACCTCTTAATAAAATGTGGACTCAAGTGGAATGGCAAACTGCATACTTGTCTGACCCTTCTGGTTTGACAAACATGTTTGCCGATAGCCAATTCATGTGGTCAATTTATCACACGGTTACATTCTTTGAAAAGGCACTCAAGAGAAGTGGAACCAAAAAGTCTTCAGCAACTCCACAAGCACCCACCACAACAGTACCTGGTTATCTGCATCCGATGTCTTCACATCTAGCATGGATTGTGCCCCCTCTCTTAAGGGTATGTTTGGCTTTGATTGTCAATTGAGATATTAACTATAATCTCTCTGTAGTTGTGCAGTGGCTAAGCTGATAAATAACTAGCATTTTAACTTCCTTTTTAATCTCATTTTCAGCTGCTGCGATGCATACATGCTCTTTGGTCTGAGCCATTTGCCCAGTCTCAGACACGGGAAATCAAAGCAGCAAAAAACATGACTGTTGCGGAGCAGGCTAGCCTTCTAGGAGAGACAGGGAAACTTACCAAAGGCCAGGTTGCTCCTGCTGATGGATTGCTGGATGTTCAGAGAGATGGAGAATCTAAAGAAAACAATATAAAAAACTGGTTGCGTGGGATCCGAGACAGCGGGTAAGTATTATGATTTATGAACTAAGAACTTTAGCTACTTAATAGATGCTTTTATCGTCATATAATTTTCAATCTGCTATTGGCACCGGAAAATATTAATGCTGAAAATGGATTCAACAGATGCAAACTTTCGTCCTATTTTTTTGAAACAAAAACTTTCGTCCTATTGTTTGTCTAGCAATATTAGAGAGTGGGATTTTATTGTTACTGGTTGGTAGCCTCAGTAGTACTGCGAAATATTGTTGGTGCCCCAACTATGCAATACATTGCCATGTTAATAAGGCTGAACAATACGGTTTTCACTAAACCATCTAGATGAAATTTCTGAAGGAATATAGTGCATGGTGAAGAAAAAATAAGCAGTGGCAGTTTCACCTACTTTTCAAACGATCTGATCCAAAACTGTGGGCACTGCTAGTGAGCATGCATGGTTGGTAATGATCTAGCCTTTTGTGGCTACTAGTTTTCTGGGCAAAAACCTTCATCAAAATTGTTGAATTCTTTTTCGAGTTCACTCCCATGTATCTACTCCTACTGCACAGTTTTGGTTGAGTATCACAACGGAAGGTCTATGCTCACACCATACTATCTTTGGTTAAGCCAAAACTGAAGTAATATTTTTTTCAAGAACATGCCTTAGCATGTATTTCAACAACGCACAGGTTAAGTGGAAGTAGATCTGATCATACACCGGGGCAGGCTGGGTTCGGGTCCGGCCTGAAAAAAAAATGCCAAACTGGTTAACAAACCACGGCTGTGACAAATGTGTCTGCCCGGCAGACAATTGAGCAGCACTTTCTTGCTAGTGGTTTATAGTAAGAGGCTTTTAACCAATCACACCATCTTATTGGGAACCCTAAATGCGTTAGGATGTCCAGGAGGAATGGCCCACCAACAGTGTCAAAGGCTTCAGCAATGTCAATCTTCAAGAGAGCACTTGTGGCCTTCTAAGAATTTGGCTGCAAGCTGAACCGAACCGAAATTATCATGCAACAGTCGACCCATGATGAATGCACTTTGTTTGGTTTCACATTCTGATCCAGCATTGGCACCAACCTCCTAGCAAGCACTTTGGTGAAAAGCTTGAAGAAACTATGAACCATGCTTATCAGGCGGAATCGCTGATCAACTTACAGCATGTTTGGTTTGCAGCGTGAGATGGTCGGGAATGATCCGATCCTACAACCGAACCTAGCAACAAGGTGTTTGGTTCGCAGTATGGAACGACACCATCTGTCATCGACTGCTTCCACTCAGACATAATCGCAAGCTATCGTGAGGGATCAAGTCGCTCCACAAAAAAGTGCCGGATGGACCCATTCTGTTCCTGCCGGACTCACCTGATGCCAGATGAGTTCATACGGCAAACCAAACACACTGTTAGCCTCCTTTAGCAGTACCATGTAGGCCTGATTGGGGGAGATACAGGCTTTGACCATCGATCCCCCAAGGTGTGTTAAACACATGGTATCTTCCTTGATAATTGGGTAGAGTAACCCTGTGAACCCATCCGGGCCTGGAGTGTTGTCCACAAAAGCGTAAATAATATTAGTATAACTGATTGAAAGTCATTAGAAGCAGATTTTTTTGTAAAACCAAATTCTGTAGTACCAGTTTTATCAAATAATTGGTACATGATGTGTCATAATCCAAACAACCTTCTTTCTGGTTTTGGTCATGACCAAGTTTTGGTGAGGTTATTTGTTGCTCAAACCAAACATACCCTTTTTAAGCTATTTATTTTTTATGCTTATGCCATGTAAGTGTCTGGACCCTTGGTCAACTTGGGATATTCTTATACTCCCTGCATATTCAATAATAAATGAACACTTGATTGACACTTCAACAAGGTTATCAAGTCGTCTGATTAATCACGATTAGTCATGATTATCAGTGCCATTGCGATCAGTTATGCACTACGATTAGTCGCGATTAGTCACAATGAGTCGAGATTAGTTGGCTGATTGGTGCCATGGTGACTAGGGTCGATTAGATTATTTGAAAAAATTGCACTTCATTCGACCATAAAAAAAATTATATATCACAGCTCATAAATATTAAGAGATGAATTCTGCTCTTTGTTCTAATCTTTTTTCATACATGCAAAAAATGTCATACTGCAGGTACAATGTTTTAGGATTAGCAGCTACTCTTGGGGAAGCATTCTTTCGATGCATAGAGGGTTCTTCTGTCACCCTTGCTCTTATGGAGAATGTGCAAATTATGGAGTTTCGGCATCTGGGCCAACTTATCCACCTTGTTATTATTCCATTTGTTAAATATTGCCCTGCCGATCTATGGCATGTGTGGCTAGTGAACCTTTTGCAGCCATTATTTGTCCACTGTCAGCAAGCTCTTAATTATTCATGGTCCAGTCTTCTTCATGAGGGTCGGGCTAAGGTTCCTGACAGCATTGGTAATCTTCCTGGGTCAGAACTGAAGGTAGAGGTAATGGAAGAAAAGTTGCTACGTGACTTGACTCGCGAAGTATGTTCTGTGCTTTGGGCCTTATCATCACCAGGCTTAAATAATGGACTTCCATCCTTGGAACAACTTGGACCTTCCAACCGGATGGATTCTGTTCTGAAGAATCTGGAGTCCTTTGCTTCAAGTTCTCTAACTGGGTAATTCAAATATTTCGAGCACCTTGCATGATTTAGTAATACATTTCTATTCCTTTTAACTGGATGTTATTGACCTTTCACATTCTCTGAGCTTTGACCATTCTTAGGAGAACCTTGTATTTCAAGAATTTCTGTTCTAACTTGGTTGACGTTTTATAGCTCCTTTCACAAGAATTAATATCTGATATAAATTTATTAGTCTGACCCACTATTTTATCTTGCTTCCTTTGCTGTACCTGTATCTGCATATCATAGATGTAACTAGTAAAATAAGGTACTGGGAAGAAATATGCAAATTGTGGCCTTAGTCCATGGAATCTTAAAACATCAAATATTTTAATACATTCTTCAAGATTAAAACATGAAACATACCACAACAGACAGAGGTAGTATGATATTATTATATTGCAAGACTTTTGAGGACAAATCTAGTGCTATTGTTTTTGTATGTCCAATTTTGATGGTCTCAGCTATAGCGTTGATTGCATTTTTCGAAGTTTGTTCACATTAAGTCTTAAGCATTGGGCAAAAAAGATATTAAAAGATGGAGGAACTCATCAAATAATAAATAGACTGTTTTTTTCCTTTGCAGATTTCTTATTCTTCATGTTGGCACAGCTCTTCCTGCATTGAGGATATCAGTTGAAGTGTTCACTTGGACAGATAGCGAAGCTGTGACTAAAGTTATCCCCTTTTGTGGTGCATTGATCCACCTAGCCGTTGCTTCAAACCAGGCTGAGTTGAGGCAGTTTGTTGCAAAGGATTTATTTTCCTCTATAATACACGGTTTATCTGTTGAATCAAATTCAGTCATGAGTGCTGAACTTGTTGGACTTTGTCGGGAGATATATGTCTATCTGTCTGATAGAGATCCTGCACCTAGGCAGGTAATTTTTTGTAGGATACATAATTGAGCTGATATAAAATAATGGCTGCTCTGATCCGCCATTAGTTATGCTATGGTTTTTAGGCATCGAAAGTTTTTTATGCTATTCAGGAAAATGGGTTACATGTCAATTTTGAGCGTATAATTAATTCCTTGCAGATTAAAATTAGAAATATCTACGCCACATGTTAGTGCAGTATTATTTTCTATGGACATGGATACATACATTGAATAATGTGTATCATGTTAACTTTTTTATAGACTTGTTATTTTTCTGTACAGTTTCTTTTTTTTCATATAACATTTAAATTTTGAATATTACATACTGTTTTAGATTTCCATATCGTTGACTAAGTGGTAACATAGGAGTATTCCTTTTTATTCACATGTTACCATGTTACAAAATGAGTGCCTAATACTTTCTTGGGAACTTAGATACTAATATTTAACTTTGGTCCGTGATGTGGTGATGTGTCAGACTCTAGGCTGCTAGCTGGGGTTTATTGCTCCAAATCCCAATTTGCAAAAATGAACAAGTTCGACTTGTGTTTGTGTATGGTTCATGGCCACATTATTTGTAATACTTGTTGCAATGAAGACTTTAGGCTTGTGAGTGATCCACATTTTGTCTGCACCAATATTTTGATAAATTTGGATAGTTTTATAATCTGTCATTGAAATACTGTTATTTCACCGTCATAATTATTGACACCATTGCTAGTTTCCTTGAGTTATTTTAGAAATAATTTTAATAGTATAATTTTGACATATAAAAAGGCCATAATGTAGCTACTCACTACTTTCAGTAGGCCTTGCTGTGGCAGGCTGATATTGTTTTTGGCTAAGGATTTGTACATGTTTATTTTTTCCACAACGGGATGCCTGAATTTCATTACTAAGAAACAATGAAATTACAAATTTGTACATGCTGATAATGAATGAAATTTGAAGGGACTCAAGTATAGTGAAGTGAACAAATGCCTAGACATACTTTCTTGCTTCGTTAAGTGAAATATCGTTACCAATGAGTCAATGGGTAGTTGACAAGGATAACCTCCACTGGTTGCCTTTTTTGGTAGTAGGATGCGAGTCCTGGAAATAATTCTTTTACTGGGCCAGTTATATGCACTGGGACTAAATTGGAAGTGCTTTGTTTGTAGGTTCTTCTTTCCCTCCCACACATTAAGCAGGAAGATTTACTAGCATTTGATGACTCTTTAAGTAAAACTGCTAGTCCAAAAGAGCAAAAGCAACATATGCGAAGCTTACTTCTGCTGGCTACAGGGAACAAACTAAGAGCCCTTGCTGCTCAGAAGACAACTAATGTGATTACCAATGTTACAAGTGAGCAAACTGCCTCAGTTTTTTCCTTCAAGTTTCATTATTCTGTATTGTACCATCAGGAACATGAGAATAAAAAAGTTAAATGCACACGGTTGCATTATTCCATGCAGTGGATTTATATTTCGTAATCTCTATGGATTTTTATCTGTTGCTCACCATAAAAGATGTTATTTTTGTGTCAAACTAAAATCAGTTCCCTTCTAGCTGTTGGTTTGGGCATTGAGACTACGTGAGATACATGTTTTACGTTGTACTTTACCTTTGCATAATGTTGTTAAAGCTTTAAGGTTACTTTGTAGTCATTCTAGGACGTATAACATGGGGTGGCCGTAGTATGATGACTAGGAGCTTTCGTTTGCACTCTGATAATTTTGTGAATTGCTTGTTTATTGTTCCATGTAGTTCGATTACTTGAAATGGATCTTATGCTGGTAATCAGAGCTGATTTGGAATTTTACAATATCCTGGCATTAACACGCACATTGCTTCTTCTTCTTTTTTTTGACAACACACATTGCTTTCTTTGAATTGCAGCACGAAATAGGAGCTCTACTGCTCACCATGGATCAAGTGCCGAAGAAGATGGCCATATTGGGTTGGCCACACTATCATCGACATGATCTGCAAAAATTTTGGGAGTGTAAAAAAGGTTGTATAACATAGGAATGGATCCTAATGTGGTTACTATTGGCGGATGCCGGATTCTTGCAGCATCATTATGTGAGGATGAATGCATGCTTAGTTATACGGCTATACCCTTCCTGCCTTCATGAGCAACTGACCGATTCTTTGGTTTAGGCGGTTTGTTTTTTAGAATGTATGTACCTTGCGTCTGCGTGTGGGTTCTGGTAGATGGTGAAGTGGTGTGTGTAATTACTTGTAGCTCAGTTACATACTAATAATAGTATAATCTTGTCCGTGTGGCCAGCTTGCTTTCATTTTCAGGCCCATTTGGCAGCATGGCTTCTTGTGACAGATGAGGTTAGTACTCCCTCAATCTAAGATGTACGTCGTTTTAGTTCTCCAAAACTTCTATAATTCGAACCAAGTTGATAGAAAAATACACCAGCATATAAATACCATATTAGTTTGATCAAATGACCACAGTAATGTCTTGACAATGTATCTATTTTTTTGTATCAAAGATGTAACTATATTTTTATATAAACTTAGTCAAAGCTGAAAGTTTCTCTTGTCACAAAAATAAACTAGGACTCGTATAATCTCTCTTTGTAAGCCGTGTGTAGTCGGATTGATTGCAAAAGGTATGAAAATAAGGCGACCATAGGGGGCGTCGGAGCCTGAGTAGGCGGGCCCGTCTTTAGAGCATCTCCACTGTATCCATTTTTTTTCTTTCCCTTAAAATTTGCTAAAAAGATTGAGAAAACACATTTGTGAGCTAAATCCAATCCCTTTTATTAAATGGACCCACTTGTCAATCAGGAGTTTCCTTTCTTCTCCCTTCTCTTTCCCTCTCCCTCCTATCCTCGCTCTGGTCGCGTGGAGTGCCGTCACTCACCCATGCTCAGCAGCTGCTTCACTCTCCTCTCTCTCTCTCTCTCTCTCTCTCTGGTGAGACAGCGGCATGGCATGGCACGGCAGCGTGGCCTCGTGCAGCACCCCAGCCCGGCGGCGGGGCCTCGCCCGTGCGGCCGGCGCCTCGGCGCGGCAGCATCCGGCCTCTACCAGCGGAGGCATGTTGGCCGTGGATGCCGAGAATCCAACGGTGCTCGTAAACGATGGAAGAAAGAGGATTGCGAAAAATCTGACCTTCTTTCTTAGAGGGACTGAGAGGAGGTTTCAAGGGATTGAGAAAAAATATAGAAAAAGGAGATTCAAAAGGGGATTGAGATAAATTTGCTGGAGCTAGTTTTTTTTCCCTACCAAATCCCCTATATCACTTGTTACTGAGAAAGAAGATTGAGTTTCTCAATCCAGTGGAGATGCTCTTAGGTGCAATGGGTTTAGGCCAATACATCAGATAAACCAAACATCCTACTAACAACCTGTCTAACACGGCTCCTCCATTCTAATCATGGGCACCATGAACGTGAGACTAAATTTGAACTCTGTGAACATTATAAAAGGCAATCCCTTAGTTAAGACGTTAGCATACACACGAGTCTCGCTGAGATTATGAAGCGAGGTGAAGTTCTCACAAGCCATGCATGTAAAGGCACACCAAGTGAGGTTAAATACTAAGGAGCAGTAGCAACACTGTGGAAGTCCCTCGGATCCTAGACAGGAGTGTCGGCTCTAGTGGAGGTTTTCGACTTGGTGGCAAGAAGTGTGAGACAGGGCTTACACTTAGGCAAGGATGCCGAGCATGTACTAACTCAGACAAGAAGAGGCCTCCAGGAGAACACTAAACTTGTATCTCCAAAAATTGGTGAAGTTCACCAAGGTCCTTCATAGAGAACTCTATCAATAGGGCTTGAGTGGTGTATCGTAGGAATGTCAATGTAGAGGACGAGATAGACAATGTCGTCGCTTTCGGTGGTATATGAAAAAAGAGCTATCTCACGTGGCCTCAACAAAACTTAGTTAAAGTAGAAATGTAGCAAACCAACTATACTAAGCATGTTGACATCTATTTAAGACCATAGAGTGAGCGGTGTTGAGGCGGCACACGAACTCAAGATGAGTGGAATCCTCAAAACCTGCTAGCTGGGAGCACTAGACATGCTTAGATAGAGTACCATGAAGGAATGTTGTTAACATCAAGCTGATGGAGTGGCCAGCTGTGAGACAGAGCCAATGAGAGGACCGTGCCCACTGTGGTGGGCTTGACGGCTTGATGAAGGTCGCATCAAAGTTACACCTAGGCACTATGTGAAACCACGAAGCACGCGACGTGTTGAAAGGTCTTAAATGGCTAGAGGGGGTGAATAGCCTATAAAATTTTTCTACAACAATACTAAGACAAATGGTTAGATCACTAAATGGCGTAATGCGAGTTTTACGCTAGCATTACAAGTGTTGCAAGCCACCTATCCACAAGTCTAGTATGCTATGATCTCTATGTATCACCCAATGGCTAAGTTGCTACTCTCTACACTAGTTGAGCTAACTTGAAACTAAACCACTAACTAGCAAGCTAAACAACTAGCTAAACAAGAGAGCTACTCTAGCAACTACAACTACCACTACACAAGTATATAAGAATGTAAATACAAGTGAGTGATAGAGGGGTTATACCGAACCGGGCAAGTGAAAAAATCAATCACATTGAATACTAATTGACACAATAATTTTTTCGTCGAGGTTCACTTGCTTGCCGACAAGCTAGTCCCCGTTGTGGTGATTCACCCACCCGAAGCTTCATGCGCTAATAGTCATCACACATATAACCCGCAACCGGGTGCCGCACAACCAACACAAGATGGGGATCCACAAGCCACGAGCAATCTACTAGAGTTGCCTTTTGGTGATCTCCACCGGAAAGGTCACAGAACCCCTCACAATCCACCGATAGGAGCCGGAGACAAGCACCACCCTCCACTCAACGATCCTCGTTGCTCCATGTTGTATAGGTGTCGGCAAACACCAAGAGTAACAAGAGAAATCCACAGCGAAACACAATCATCAAGTGCCTCTAAATGCAATCACTCAAGCAATGCACTTGGATGCTCTTCAATCTCACCAAATAATGAATCAATCAAGCAAGATGAGTTAGAGAGGAATGGCTAGGCTCACAAGGTTGTATTCTCAATAGAAATGGCCAAGAGAGTGAGCCCAAGCCGGCCAACAAGTATTTATAGCCCCCAAACGAAATAGAGTCGTTAGGCTCAAGATGAAATAGAGTCGACCGGACGTGGCTCAATGATAGGGTCTTTGCACCCGCGTCCGGTCCTCGATCGCACGTCCCCGATTCAATCTTATACGTAGATTTTCCAACAAGCACGCGCGTGGTCAAGGTTGCACCCACGCACCCGTGATCCTCGACGCACCCTCGATCCACCACACATGTCAATGGCTAGCAGCCACGCGCCAACAATCAAGAGAGGTTCGCACCGGACTCCCTTTAGAGTTTGGCCCTTCACAAAAGCACAAAGAAGTCACCACGACCGGACGTGGGAACAATAACCCCTGTGTCTCAGTCTTGCTCTTCACTCGTGGTCTCACTAACGTAGTCCCTCTTCCTCCCAAAACCAGAGTGTATCACCAATGTTCCAGAGCATTTTCAAGGCTTTTTCAAAATGCATATGCAATGATCGCACTTTGCTAACTTTGATTAGGGGCTGATCCTAGACTCAAAACAAAATGCTCCTAGAGTTTGGCCCTTCACCATCATCATCCAGCTCACCATGAACTTCATCTTTGCTCCATCACTTGGTGTGTACACCTCAAATTCACTTAGAGCCATAGGTTACGTAGGAACAATAACCAAACTATGGCTTTCACGCGCTTTATAGCGTAGAAGGGAACCATTGGCATTGAACTCATGCTTGAAGATCCATTTGCAAACGCCACATTAGCACATGAGGGGCGAGGAACTAAGCCCCAAGTGTTGTCATATAGGAGGATGCGTCCTCTTCTACGACACTCTGCATGCATATCCATATCGGATGACCAAAAGCCTAATGGCTAGAGGAGGGTGAATAGCCATGTCACCACTTAATCAAAATGGTTAGAAAATTATGAGGCCTCCTTTTACTTAAAATATAAGCCTCCACCACAATTCTAATTGATAGTATCCACAAGTAGCTAACCACCAAGTGTATCACCAATGTGACACACCAACCAAGCAAACAAGCTCTCATTTTACACAAAGCATTTTCAAGGGTGTTAGCACTCACTAGAATCAAAATGCATATGCAATGAGTTAGAACATCTAGTGGCACTTTGATAACCGCATTTCACAATAGAATTTTGCTCTTCTTAATAGTATGGCTATCTATCCTAAACACACTCACACCCACTTGGTGTCTTGAGTAGCAAAACAAAATGCTCCTATCAAATATACCTTTGTCTTGAGCCATTTTGTTTTTCTCTTTCTTCTTTTCCAAGTTTAGAGCTTGATCACCATCATCACATGTCCACCAACATCACCATGAACTTCATCTTTGCTCCATCACTTGGTGTGTACTAACCTATCTCAAATTCACTTAGAGCCATAGGTTAGTACCTAGGGTTTCATCAATTAGCCAAAATCAAACTAGGGCTTTCACGCGCTTTATAGCATAGTAGGGAACCATTGGCATTGAACTCATGCTTGAAGATTCATTTGCCAAACGCCACATTAGCATCGTCGGTATCCGCTTCTACGGCGGACACATGAGGGCACCCTTGATCAAATGTGCCAACTAAAGTGTATCACCCCACATGTGTTAGCGTCATATTCAGGAGGATCCGATCCTCTTCAATGACGACACTGCATGCATATCCATTCCGATCGGATGGCACCCCTCTTAATGGTGATCACACTCTCTCTAAGTGTCTTGATCACCAAAACAAAATAACTCCTAGATTCCGGTGGAGTTTGTTGGACTTGAATCCAAAAGCCAAACTCAAAACCTAAAACTAATCGAATCATGTTATGATTCATGTGGTAACCTACCACTTGATAAACTAGGTTAGCACTTAGGGTTTCATCAATTCCAAAACCAAACTAGAGCTTTTAACAGGCGATTCGATTGGGTGGAGTTTTGGTTGAATCTCCAAACTCAAAACCTAAACCCACCACTTTATCGCAAATACAATAAAAGTAATAATGAATTTCTGTCAACAAATGCATGACATAGATTACATATTCATATGTATAAACAAAAGGCATCAAACAACATAGAATTTCATGAGTCAACTTAGAAAAAACTTAATAGCTTACAAAAACAATTTATTAATAAAAAGACATGAGTTTTTATTCAAAATAATATATTTCGGTCTCCATCGGGCATCCATGGGTGGAGCCCGAAACCTAAAACCGAAGGCAATAAGTTGAACCCGAAAAACATGAGGGAAAATTGCCTCTGCACACACACACACACACCTATTGAACCCGAAACAACCCTACTGTCATTTCTATTGATCATCCGATCCATGCCCTAACTCAATAGACGGCTTTTCCACCAAGCCCTCCATCTAAATGACCATTATGACCCTTTTAGCAATTTATTCTATCTAAGTAAATTCTTTATGTCCATAAAACATAGCTTTATTAAATAATCAAAATACCTCTATTTTAAGTTAGTACTTGGATTCATTATATTCAAATCATTTTAAGATTTAAAATTAGGTAAGACCAAAACAACTTATGTCTTCTCTTTGTGGTATCGGTTGCCTCTCTTGTTTTGCTTACCTTGTTTAATTTATAGAGTAGAATAAGTAGGACTTGTCATTTTAGGAAGAAAACCAAGGTAGCCTTTAGAATTCTAGTAACATAGTATAGTTGGTCACTTGATACTAGATTTCTATAGGTTTTGATCACCCTAGGCTTGCAAGACATAGTTAGAAGTAGTGCTTATTAGAGTCTCATTTGTTTCTATAACAAGTTTGCTTAGTGCTTATGTTTTGTCAAAAGTATCTTATGTCTTCTCTTTATGGTATTGGGTGCCTCTTGTTTTGCTTACCTTGTTCAATTTATAGAGTAGAACTAGTAGCACTTGTCATTTTTGGAAGCAAACCAAGTTAGCCTTTAGAATTCTAGTAACATATTATAGTTGGTCACTTGATACTAGATTTCTGTAGGTTTTGATCACCCTAGGCTTGCAAGACATGGTTAGAAGTAGTGCTTATTAGAGTCTCATTTGTTTCTAACAAGTTTGTTTAGTTCTTATGTTTAGTAAAAAAAAGGCTACTCACCTCTCTAGCCATCAATAGAACATTTCACGTGTGCCACACCATTGGCCAGCCGCTGCCTACCGCGCCACTCAATGTCAGCCCCACCACTTGCCCTGCGCCTATGAGAGAGGAAAGTTGCTTTTCATAGATCTCCTATAACTGTTTGTAGGAAAGAATAGATAAGAAATCTAGTGGAGAGAATACCGTATATGGTTTATCTAAAATGTGTACTATGTATTTCCCTTGTATTGATGATGTGAATCCATTTGAACATTGACACGGTCCTTGGTAGGCAATACTATGACTAATTATATACGTAAAAATATATATTATATTAGATAAATATTTTATATCATGAGAACATAATAAGTATGCTAACGCCTAATCTATATAAGATTATATACGTACCTTCATTTCACAAACACTTGCTAATTTTGAGTTTACATTTTAATGTTTGATTTTTGTTTCTTAATTATTCGAAGGTTTATAGAAATAACCAGAAATATAGGGTGTGTCTCAGGCACAGTCGACTGACCAGTTGCATATCCATCAGGCGACGGTGAGAGCCGTTGGATCCTAATCCAATGGTGCAGCAGTCGTCATCAACCTCTCCTCCTGACCCTCTTCTTCCTCGCGCCTAGTCCTCGCACCCGCCTCGCCTAGTCCTCTTCTTTCTCGCCAGTGGTCGCGCTCTCCTCCTCATCCTCGCCCCCGTCGCTGCCCACCGCCCTACCGTGCGCGCTAGGTTTCGCCAATGCTTCGCGCCACGGCGAAACCCTAGCGCGCCCGCGGTGGCTGCCTTCTCCCCCCTCTCACCGGAGCTCCCTCGCCCTGCCCTAGTCCGTACGCCTCCACCGTCACCAGGGCCCCTAAACCGTCCTCCCACCGTCCCCACCGCCTGGCTGGCTGCCCCCCCCAAACCCCTTCTTTTATTAGCTCGCCGGAGTTGGGGAAGATGGGGGTGGAGTGAGTGCAGGCGGGCGCGACGCATGCAGAGGCAGGTGACGGATGCAAACGCAAAATCTCACAGCGACTATCAAAGGAGCAAATCTTGAAATATATTATCCTTCTAAAGTGTTTTTATAACAAAACCACCGGTACAATTTTCATTTTACTTAACTAAATAAATATTGCTCATCAAAGTGTGAACTGTAAAAGCGAGATTTGATAAATATTTTGATACGCAGTATGCTTGTTGGTGATAAAAAAAGAAAATCTAAGTAGGCTCCTTTTCAAAAGGAAAAAGTCTACATCACCCCTGACATATCAAGGGTGGTCTACATAATCCTCTGAACTACAAAATCAAGTATTACACATATTAAACTTCATAAAACTGGACAAATAACCCTCTGAGTAGTATTGAAAGGTGGTTTTGGTGGTTTGGCAATCCACGTCGGACGTCTGAAAGGTGAGGTCGCTATCGCTATGCGGCGGCAAAGCATGCTCGATGAGGCGGGAAATCGCCAGCCTAGCAGTATGGGAGGGGCCTCACGGGGAGGGGCCGCCACGGCCGCCAACAAGACTGTGACTTCAGCAGGAGGGTGGCGCATCTGCTAGCTCGCCTCGGCGGCCGTGAGTGGTGCGACTCCAGGCCGTGAGCTCTGGCGGCGTCTCACGCAGGCGACACGAGCTGCGGAGTCATGGGCGGCGTGAGCTCCATCAGAGCACCTACAGAGCTCAAACTCTGAAGGTATGGGCGACATGGACGACGTAAGCTTTGGCGGCATTATGAACTACCAACCATGGCGGTGGGTGTGGTCTCGCCCGATAGCCTTGTCAGGTATCGATATTAGGGATACCCAAAGCAAGGAGGTTAGTGCCCACGCTGACTTTCCCGGATGGAGCAAGATGTATTAAAAGGTCTCGCCCGACCCCAAGGCCACGGGCTCCATCTCACCCTACCTTAAGGTCAGGTCTCGCCCGCCCCTTGACCCGGGGCTCAAGGCGCCCGGGGTGTGGGCTCGGTCTCGCCAGACCCCAAGGCCACGGGCTCTGTCTCGCCTCCCTCGGGTCATGGAGGTCTCGCTCTACGGCCTTACTCCGCCTCGCCTGACCTCAAGGCCACGGGCTCTGGCCTCGCCTATGACCCCAAGGCCGCAGGCTCTGTGTCGCCCGACCTCAAGGCCACGGGGTCTCGCCCAAGGCCACGGACTCTGTCTCACCCGACCCTAAGGCCACGGTTTTCGTATCGTCCAAGGCCGCGGGCTCCGTCTCACCTGACCCCTTAGGTGCGGGCTCCGTCTCGCCCGACCCTAAGGACGCGGTTTTTGTCTCGTTTGACGAGGACCCATACCACTGCCAACCACTCTAGGTCCAAGCGTATGGGCCCGGATCAAAACTCTGACACCAGGGAATAGACTGGCACGTCTCGAAGTAACCCGTGGCCTTGACGGGCCATTCCTGAGGATTCACATCAAGAACAGTGTCGGACGTGCCGGTGTTGTTCTGCCTAACCCTCGTACGAACGCTGACAGGCGCGTCAGTTCACCACGATGTCCGTCGGGGAGGAATGGAACGCCATGACCGGCAGATGACGCCTGCGCACGGCGCTAGTGACGAACAGGGCCACGACGTGGAACCATCCCTGTTGACATCTATAGGATCAGCGGGACCCACATGAAGGAGAAGAAGGACCCGGTGATTCTAGAAGTCTTCTTCTCTCTTTCGTTCTTCTCCTTTTCCTCCAATGTAACCAACGCTTTTCCTTCGCCTATAAAAGGGAAAGCAGGGCGCCCCTACCGGGGGACCGAACAACGAACGAATCGGAACACAAGAGCATGACACGAGCACACAACTGAGCAGCAATCGAGCTCTCAGCACCCGTTCACTCCTTCCACCAGAGACTTGGGATTCTTTCCCTCTCTCGCCTGTTTGTAACCCCTACTGCAAACCAAGTGCCGGTAACACAAGCAGCAGCGAACTGGACGTAGGGACGTTTCGCCCGAACCAATATAAACCCTTGTGTCCTCCGAGCACACCATCCGAGCCAGACGCACAAATACAAATTTACTCGTCGGTGGTCCAAAAACACCGACAAGCTTCGACACGCTCGGCGTGGTGTCGTGGTTGGTCCACGTGCTCAGGGTTAGGTCCATTGGCGCGCAATAGGCTGCTAGGACCAACAAGCCCTGGATCAACTCCGACGGCCTCACGAACTAACTACAACACAACTAAAAAGTTACAACAAGATTATAGAAAACTTTACATTACTCAAAGTAAAACTTTACATGACGTTGTCCCGTGGCCGCGGAAGTAGTGAGGGCGACGAATTTCCAAAATTCGTTGACAACACGGCGTGGCGTGGCCGGCTCTCGCTGTGGATTCGTTAGCTAGGCAACTTTTATAGCTACCCACTGGTGAAAGGAATTGAACTAGAGGCTTCAAGCTGGCCGAATTTGACAGGCGAAGGGAGCTCTGTTTTTGGCTCGTGCATGGTGACGGCAATGCGAAAAACGCCCGCAACAACCTTTACCTTGGATGAAACTCAGCAAGGCTAGGCCTAGGATGTAGAGAGGCTCAAGGTGAAGCTACGGTTGTGACTAATTTGGGGATGGTGCGGTAGAGCTCGCGAATTTTGGCCACCGGTGGCTGCTGCTCTCCATGGAAGCGACAAACAGAGGCAGGGAGAGTGAGCGAGAGATATAGGCACACGAAGACACAAACACGACACGAGGCGAGTAGGCGGCAATAAGAAGATGCAAATGCAGCATCGCTTCGGCGACACATGATGGGCGCATCACGGCGACGACACAAAGACGCAAGACAGCAAAGAAGGCGGCATGCCGACGACGCAGGCGGCATGGCAGGCTTGTCGTCCAGGCTGCCGCCATGAGAGGTAAGTGGGCCACCGCCGCCCCTACTCCTTCCGGTGCTGACGAGCGGGCCTAAGCGCCAGCGATGTCCAACACATCTAGCCTGGATTGCCACGCAAGCAAAATCACTTCAACACAAACAAAACCGCCTGGCAAAACCACTCAAGGGGTAAATTGATTGGTTTTACTAACTTTAATGTGTTCAATACCTGATTTTATACTTTGGGGTTAAGTGTAAACCTCAGGGTAGACTTTTTTCCGTTTTGAAAAAAAGAAGAAGAAAATTCTAAGTGAGCTCTACGTAGTCATCTTTTTTTTTAAAAAAAATCCTCCATTTTCCCATTCGGCAGCCAAGCAAGCATAACCAAATGAGGAACAAGGAGGCGGAGGAGGAACCAAGGAAACGGCAGTCGCGTCCCATGGAGGTGGCGGGGAGCGGTGGCTGGGACTTCCTCAACTAGCTAGGCCCCGATACACCTGCCTGCGTCTTCCACCGCCTCGACGACCCCACCGATCTCGCCCGCGCCGCCGCCGTCTCCCGCTCCTGGCGTCAATTCGGTATGCGGCGATTCCGATCCCTCAGTTGTTTTTCCTGTGGTTACCTCTGTGCAGCTGCTGAGTTCTCCGCTTGGATTGAATTCCGCTACTCTATGCAGTTATCGCCAATGAATTCTGCAAGAGCCTCTGCCTGAGGATATGCCTGGAGGTCGCCAGCTTCACCCGCGCGGTTGAGGTGAGCGAATCGCCGCCGGTCCCAGCGCTCGCGGCGCCCGCCTCTGAGTCCAGCCATGACGCCGAGAAGGATCACAGGATATACTCCAACCTCGGCGGCGCCCTCATCTCCTCCAAGTCCAAGCCCTTCGTGGACTGCATCCTGGACTGCATCGGTGCCTCTAGCACCGACCATTTCCCGGCCGAGAGGATGGAGAACACGCTCGATCCACGGGAGGTGGTGGGTCACCGTCCATCCTACTGGTCGAGCGGGGGCCAGTACGACCCTGACGTGCCTGAGAGCTTGACCTACCGGCTGCGCTCTAATCTGTGCATTGTCGATGAGATCAGGATACACCCGTACAAAGGTACTACTGTACTAGGAAATGTATCTGATTTTTTGTTGTCATGATGTTACATGCCTAAATTTTAGCTTTACCTTTCAGGGTCATTAGTTCTGTGAATTCAATTGTTATTTTCTTTTCTGTTGTGCCAGTGTTTTTTTATGACGGCCAGCCTATTTTCTCTTCAAAGATGGTGCGAGTTCGAATTGGCCGTTCCAAGCCTTCTCGTGGCATGGCTGAGGTTGACAACCAGACTGTAATAGCTGATGAAAATTATGTGTGGACGTACACATCACCGGACTTCCCTATGCGACAGGTGAGTCCACGGCTTTCCTACTCAGCCACCGCCTACTGGCTTATCTGTCATTGATCAGCCTTGTTTAAGGCAGCAGCATACTGCTCTGCATAGCTACATTATTGTGTCTGTCATGATCACTGATTCCTAAGGAAGATATACATAGCTGAAGTAACACTTTTGATAATTTGAGCAACCTTTTCTTGTTGGAGAGAATATTCCTATAACTGAAACACGATGATGTCCCATGATCTTAACTTTTAGTTTAGATTCATTACAAAATTCTTAAATCTTTTTTTTTCTACCAAAAATGTAGTGTTTATTTTTATCTTCCAATGGTTGAACAAGTAAGTCTAAATGGCATTGGTGCAGTATGTAAAAAGGGCAATCAAGTCCATAAGAAGTTGGTGCAGCGTTGCCTAGTCTTGGGGAACAGAATTATATGGGACAGGGTCATCAAAGGTTTTAACCAAGGTCCTTTCCTAAATGTTGACAAGTGTTCCACTTCCACCCATCCCTTCTCCTCCATTTACCTTCTCTCTGCTTCGCATCAAGTCACACAATTCCTGCAGTGCTCCAGATTTAGAATACTATGCAGCAGTGACCAAGCCATCCATCGACTTAACTCATGATTCCATAAAAGATGGCAAGCAATCAACACCAACACACGTTTGCACAGTAATGTCTAGTGGCGATACCAATGATTATGGCCAGTGGGCATGGTCCATTGGGTAGGTGTGGGCAATGCCAGTGGCATCATGCCCGTTGTGGTCATCCACTGAACTGGGAAGCAAGTCTTCATCTCATGCTGATGGGGTTCATCAAGAACCTGCTCAGATGGAACACTAGTTAAAGAAGTCAGCTGCGAGAAGACTGGTTCTGAAGGGAAGAAATATTTGGTTACTTGAGGTCAGTAAAGCTTTCACTGTTGGAAAGATCTGGGATGGGGCCTCATGAGGTGGAATTGAAGGGACCATCTCATAGAATTCCTTATTTTCCTGCTGTATCGAGTTTCACTTGTCCATGTAGAGCAGTTAAGGACCTAGGTCCATGCTTGTAACTTTTCTTCTTTCCAGTGGGACCTATTTATGAGCAATGATATACTAGTAATCCTGTTTTATGATATAATGAACAACATGTTCACTAGATAATATGGCGACCTTGTTGATTTCTGTCTTATTTTGGTGTGATAGGAAAATGTGTTACAATCCGTCAAACTCCCACGCCCTGTCCTTTGCATTGGTGGTGTAGTGAGGATTGAATTGCTGGGAAGAACACACAAAGCTTTTAATGATATGTATTACATTTGGTGAGTTCTCAATCCTCTCATTTTTCTTATGGTTGTCTTGTCTTCAAATAAAATGAAAATAGCTTAATTTACTTAAGAGAAGAGAGCTGACATTTTTGTTATGCAAATTTTGGGATTGTATATAGTCTAGTTTCAAGCTTGGAGTAGGAGTGCGCAAACTTGATGAACAATTTTCTCATTTCCCACTGGTTGTGTACATCACGATCATATTTTTTTTTTCAATTTTAACCACCATCCTTATAATTTTTTTTTTGCACTTGATCATTATATCATGACAACTTAGCAACAGGTATGAGGTAGTTTTTTTTTTGTTTCCTTCAAAAACCTTGTAATATTTAGTTGCCTTTGTCTATATGTTGCCTCAACAAAAAATGCATGCAGAACTAAAGTATAGTTTGCTTTATGCGTGAAATGTTTCCACTTATTTGTATAAATGCTGAAATGTTGACATTTCGGGGTTTTCTTTTTCACTATGATGGACAGTGTTTGCCATGCCCAAGTGATTGGACGCTCCCGTTCACCAGTTTTCAAGGCTCACATTTCTGACTCTGCTGGTTATACAATCCTCAAGTATTTGCCGGGTGCCAAAAAATGAGAGAATTGTATGGTAGGGGTATTACTGGTAGTCTGGCCTCCCTTGGGTCGAATTAGGTATAGTTCAGGACCAGGCCACCTATATTGGTCTACCAATGCTGGTTGCAATATGCGGTGTCTGGTTAGGACTAGAGTGAGGCTGACTGGATCGTGTCTTTCCTTGGTAGAGTGGTTTGGTATCTGGAGTACTGGAATGGCGTTGAGTCATTATGTGATGCTTTGCGGTTCGTTCTGCACAGTGACTCAAATCCTGCCTGATAAAAGTGCATACAGTCCCTAGTTGAATTCATGTGACGTCGTTGATTCTTATTTTACTTTGTTCATGTGAATTGGGCGTAGTATTGTAAAATACACACTCCATTCTAAATTGTAAGTCGTTCTGATTTTTCTAGGTATATAGTTTTTTATGCACCTAGATATACAATCTAGATACATAATAAAACCTATATATCTGGAAAAGTATAACAACTTGCAATTTAGAACAGAGGGAGTACTATCTAAGCTATGTCTATGGTTTCATCATCATGTACAGAGATTGTATCACCACTTAATACCATCAGTTATCTTAGGCTGTTTGGTTGAGCTTCTAAAAAGTGCTTCTGTTGTCAAAAAAACAGAAAGCCAACCAAACAGGAGAAACCTGAATCTACTTTCATGTAGTATAGTTTTTGAAGTACATTGGACCCTGCTTTTGGCTTTTGGCCTTTTGTTTTTTGAAATAAGTGGAAATAGAAAGTTGTTTCACAGCTGTTTCAAGGAAGATGGAGAGAGTGGGTAGATTTTATTCTTGTTTCATCCAAACAGCTTATAGCTTTTCTATAACATATAGTTTACATCAGCTTTTTCATAGCTCATTGCTAAACCAAACAGACCCTTAGTGCCCATAACTGCTTTGTTGTATTGTATGAATATTTGTTATGTTCCAACCAAAATATGTAAGATTGATTCATACTTAGGCAATCAAAGAGGTGAATGATTGTTGAAGCTAAATATAAATTTTAAGGCTTCCCCTAAATACAAAACCCGTCTGAACATAATTTTGTGTCTCCACTAGCTCCAATTGATCTGAATTTTGCAGATTAAAATAGATGTAATTCTCTAATCAATGCAACTGGAATCACATCAATTGGGGATATAGAACTTGATATAAAAATAACAAGCACACTGATCAAGAGGACGAGAATAGATTAAACTCTAATTTCGTGATTAAGCAAAATTTAATAACGTTTAACCAATCAAACTTCTTGGATCAATAGCACCATGTCGTAGCACAGTTTTCGATAGATCAAATCAAGTCTAAACTTATGAACAAGAAATCGATCTAACTACAAGCTAGGCATAAGAATAAAGAACCGGCCGAGACGAGGAACGAGATTACCAACACATCGATATGAGACAATTGAATTTTTTTACTCTGATCAGGTGTTCACAAGATGCATACACAAGCATCCATACAAGAATTCTCTATGAATGCCAAAACCCTCCTAGAGAGCAAAGAAAAACATAATCTTAAGCATCCAGGATGAAGTACATATCAGCAAAGTCACAAATGGTTATTTTTTTCACTAAACTCTATACAATAGATGACTTAGTGGAACCTGATTTAATCATTGATAACCTGCAGGCGAGAGTAAACGATGACATGAATATTTCTCTGTACAAGGATTTCTAAAATGAGGAAATCAGTCATGCCTTATTTCAAATAGGTCCTCTAAAAGCACCTAGACCAAATGGTTTTCCAGCTAGATTTTTCCAAAGAAATTGGGATCTGATAAAGATGATGTGATCATAGGAGTAAATCATTTTTGCCTTTAGTAAAATGCTAGAAGGAATAAATGACACAGTTATTGTGCTAATTCCAAAAAACAAAGATGCCAAGAAACTCAAGGAGTATAGACCTATGCAATGTCATCTACAAGGTGATCTCAAAATGTTTGGTCAATAGATTACGACATCTTCTGCAAGACATTAACTCCCCAACTCAAAGTGCTTTTATTCCAGGCCAGATGATTACAGACAACGTATACAATAGCTTTTGAATGCCTCCATGTTATCCAACAGTGCAATGACAAATGTGGAGTCTTCTGCGCCTATAAACTCAATCCGGCCAAAGTGTATGATCGTGTCAACTAAAACTACGTGGAAAAAGCATTCCAAAAGTTGGGTTTCAAAAAAAGATGGACTGATTGGGTGTTGGAATGTATGAGAATTGTAAAGTATTTTGTCCATGTAACACCCTAAAATTTGTATTCCTTTAAAATAGATTAAATTGATTTAATTATACTTTTATTTGTGCATTCAAACATAGGAAAAATATTTTTATTAAATTAAAATCCAGGCACGTGTTGTTGCACACATGCCAGTGAATTTGTATCTTTGTACTGTGTGGTTTTGATTTAAGTTCAAACTGATTTAAATTGCTTTTGAAAAGGGTTTTGAAATGGCTTTAAAATAACAGAAAAGGGTGAATCCGTCCCTCTACATATATAGAAAATTCTATTTACCAAAAAAGTGAAAACGACTTATAATTTGGAATCTATGGAGTATAAGAGTTTATATGTGTGTGATCCAATTCTCATCCACCCATGACGCTGGCATAAAGTCAAGTGGGCGAAGTCACCCTTAGTAGTTCATGGGCCGTGTGGTCACGCGATCACCATAGTGCACGATCGACATATCTCACATTGAATTTGTGTTTTTTAATATGAAGTTGCTGGAACTCCCACATCTCGTTCAGTATACTTGTATTCATCTCAATTTATGTGTACTCCCTCCCTCCATTCCAATTTAGACCCCCTTTGGAATAAAGGATTTACAAAAGCATAAATAGGAAAACACATAGGAATCAAATGCCTAGGGTTTCAGAATAGAGGAAAGTATGTGAAGATGCCTTTGAAAGCATTGTAGGAAAATCATAGGAAATAAAACAATGAGGTTGGAGCTCATGTTTACTTTCCTCCAAAATTCCTTTAGATGACCCAATCTATATGAATTTCAAAGGAATTGTTGAGAACTATTCCTTTGTTCCAAAGGGCTTGATAGGTGGTTTTTATTTCTTTAGATGCACAATTTTATTACGTATCTAGAATAATTATATATCTAGGTGCATAGTAAAAGCTATGTACCCAGAAAAGCTAAAACGATGATAAATTTGAGATAGAACGTGGTATTAGAATAGATTGAGATGAAAAATTAACTAATTTTAAATCTAACACACGTGGACTAAGATGGATATTAATTGGATCAGCCATTTAGCCCACCGGCGCTTGCCCTGTTGTCTATCTTGTTGACCTCATCGGTCGACCTGAATAGCTGAACGCTAGTTTTTCATCAAACCAACTAATAACTGAAAAACAAGAACCATTATCCGCTCCACGCCTCATGCCGCCACTTCTCTCCCAACCACCACACCACCGCTCTCTCCTAGGACACTGCCTCGGTCCTCTTCTTCTCTCCCAACTGGCGATCTCGTCGATGGACAGAGGAGCGGGGATCCGATCCCTTTGTCCTTTATAGGTTTAGGTTGGGTTTTAAGATCCTTGTTGGTTTAGGGTTTGATTTATGGTGTAATCAACGAGGTGGTGGCAACGATGGTATTTTGGAATATGATCTCTCTGGCCTCTACCTCTACCTCAACGACATTTGATCTTGCATTGACAAAGGGACAATGAGATTTTGGTCTATCGGATCTATTGATCTTCTTTAGAACTTGTTATTTGGTGTGCTTATCAGAGGAAGCAGTTAGTTGGCTTTTGATGTGTCGATCTCGATCTTTTCTTTTGGTTTGTTCTACAGTGAGTTCCGACATCTTCAACGCTCTGTTTGATGATAAAGGATTGTACACCTGCGTTTTTTTTTGGAGGATTCTCCTCCAGCCAATGTTCTTTTAGTAGATACTAGATCTCGTTGTTAGCGGCGAGTGACTTTTGCGGTCTTAAAAGCCTTTTGGTGAGGGTGTTTGCGTTGTCCTTTTTCTTTCCTGTCTTTTTGATGCGGTCTTCAATTTTCAGCATACACCGAACGTTCGAAGAAAGAAGACGGCTACTTTGGTCTTTGATGTACTCTTATTTTTAAAAATTGTTTTGTGTTTTTTGTTTATCTTTTGTACTAGCTTTTATTTTCCTTAAATATGTAAGATGTGAGGTATTTTTTAGTCTTATATCAGAAAAAACCCTAATAACTGGGAGTGTTTGGCATGGCTTCTTTTAAAGGGTTTCTTCGATGGCTTCTAAAAAACGGCTCCGACTTGAGGGGTATTTGGATCCGGGGACTAAAGTTTAGTTTTTATCGCATCGGATATTTGCATGCTAATTAAGAGAACTAAACATAAGCTAATTATAAAACTAATTGCACAGATAGAGACTAATTTGCGAGACAAGTGTAAGCTTAATAGACTCATTTCGTAAATTAGTTTCCATCTATGCGGTTGTTAGTTTTATAATTAATCTATATTTAATACTCTAAAGTAGTGTCCGATGTGACACTTAATGCTCCTTACGTTTCGTAGTGTCCTAGGAGTGAGCCGTAGCTATGGATGAAAATGGATCGGATACGAATGGATATCACTGATATTACATTTGTTTTCGTATTTCTGTCCGGATTCAGATTCGAATACGGATAGTGTCAACTATGATGGATGACATCATGAATATGTGATTTGAGTATTCGGATACGAATACGATATTGGATGTTGAATATCCGAACTCAAATATGGACAGCTCTAGACTTTTTTAAACGGATTTGGTATAAATAGGTTCGGAAAATATCTGTATCGTCTTCGCCCTAGCCTGAGCGAAAAAATTGCAAAAATAACGCTCGAAAGATTAACTCCTTGATTACGATGACACTCGGGTGGATGACAAGTGGGTCCATCTGTATCTATGAATGTATAGTTCCAGTGTCAAATCTGCAAACGACCGATGCTTTGAGTCCCGTTTTTGCAAATTGCCCCGAGCGAGAAAAAAATTTGCAAAAATGACGCTACAAAGATTGAGCCGGAGAAAAGCCTGCCAAGGAGACCGTGAACAAAGCCACACCAAACAGCGCCGCCGCACCTCGCTCCCTTCCTCCTCCACCCCATCGCTGCCGCCGATTCCAACGCCGCCGGAGCGCCTTCGACTCCGACACCTCCGGGTAAAAATTATTCGCCCTCAATTTGGATCTCCTCTCGTCCTAGTGCTCAACTCTGTGAAAGTACGAGATCGACGACTGAGCGTGTTCTCTATCTTCGTTTACAGCGAGAAGGGGAAGCCGAGGAGATGAGACTGGTCGGCCTAACGGGCGGGATCGCGTCCGGGAAGAGCACTGTCTCTAACCTCTTCAAGGACGCCGGCGTCCCCGTCGTCGACGCCGACATCGTTGCTCGGGTAAGCTAAGCAGGCGGCCCAAACCTTGGAGCTATCTGATGCTATCCGCGCAGACTACTAATTATTGCTTCTAGAACTCAAATTGTGTGCTGCTCTGTTGCTTGCCTGGGCATAATGTTGTTAGATTTGGTACATTACCAATATCGGAACTTGTAGTTCAAAAGATGCCTTTGTGTGGAGTGCAGTTTTTAGATATGTACTCTAAAGAAAAAGTATGAACTTTGTGCCTTTCTTGCCTCTCATAGTGCTTTCGTACAAACATTATGTCTAATTCTTTCTAAATTATCTCTCTATAGGCTACACAAACAGCGCTTTTGGCCAAAATCAAAGGTCTTTAGTAGGTTATAAACATTAAGCACATATGACTCCAATATTTAGCTGTTAGCATTGTCTTTTGTCTGCTGTAGCTGTGTTTCACGCATGTAACTTAGAGCTTAGGCTCCTCATTTATTACTTCAAACAGAAGCACTATTTTAGTTTACACTTCCAAAAGAAAAGAAAAGGATCTGGTAAGATCATATCACACAGTTGTGACATCGCGATGATTTTTTATGAAGCCTTTAACTTATAGACACTATAAAATTTCAGATTGCTATTGTACTTGTTTCCTCATGTTTTTGTCACTCCTCTCTTTTCCCTTTCCTTACCATTTACAACTGGATCCTATACCAAACAATCAAACGTAACACTGCAATAGGAATTGACAACATGTGCAACACACTTTTATGAGAATGGCAGGTTGTATGATCTTGTAGACGCTCTCTTCTATTTTCTAATATTAGTTAGTACCTTCAATAATGACCGGAACAGAAAATCGTTGCTGCCACAGTGCCTGGAGCGAGGCTCTGCCCTTTTACACACAACCTGACAGCCAGTGTACACAAAACTACAACAATAGTTACTAAATGAATGGCTTAGATACATTACTTGCACTGGAAAGCATGATTGATAATTATATTTTCAAAGTTCTGAAATTTTTATAGAATGCTGTAAGCTTGTTACAACTGTGTTTGCTTTACAAACATTGTACTGATTATAAAAACCATGCATTTATAGGATGTAGTGCAGAAAGGCACTGCAGGTTGGAAGAAGATTGTAAAAGCCTTCGGGAATGATATTTTGTTGGAAAGTGGAGAAATTAACAGAGCTCACTTAGGGCAAATTGTATTTTCTGACCCATCAAAACGTCAACTTCTAAACCGGTACACCTTTCACTGATTTGAAATATTTCATCGCCTTTCACTCTCTGTTTTTATGAATGCAGTAATACGTGTCAATTTTGTTGTATTATGCAATATCACATGAGTCAACTGTCCAACTATCATTCTTTGTGTAAGTATTAGTGTTGTTGAACTTTATTTGATTTATTTATTGTTACCATTAAACATGAAAAGACAAAACATTAGCTATGCTACAAGGCTGGAGAAAATAAAAGTAAAGACCAAACATTAGCTATGCTACAATGCTGAAGAGAATAAAAATAAGTACAATAAAGATGTTATAATTAAGTAATTAACTATGACACTGGTCTACCTGCTTCTCTGTTGCCCTTTTAATATAGTTTGTCATGACTATCGCTTGATGACACAATTTCTTCTTACTGGCAATTTTTGGTATTCTTATTCTGTTAATTTTTCAGCTAGCTGAACCATTTGTTCCCTCGTTTTTTTGTCAGTATTTGCCATTGCTAATAGGAGTTGTTCTGTTTTTAACTTTTTGGTTTTATAAGTCTTCTGGCGCCACATATTTCTTGGGGAATAGTGTGGGAGATAGTGAAACTATGGATGAAAGGATGCAAGGTTATCATCCTGGACATCCCGCTGCTGTTTGAGACCAAGATGGATCGATGGACAAATCCAGTAATTGTGGTCTGGGTTAACCCAGAAACCCAGATTCAGAGGCTGATGTCAAGAGACGGGTGCTCTGAAGAGCAAGCGCAGAACAGGATCAACGCACAACTTGCGCTGGACTTGAAGAAGTCGGAAGCCGACATAGTGATCGACAACTCTGGATCGCTGGATGACACCAGACAACAGTTCCGGGAAGTCTTGAGGAAAGTCTCTGAGCCCTTAACATGGAAGGAACGCTTGAGATCTCGAGATGGGCTGATCTCCGTTGTCGTGTGCACGGCAGTGGGTGTATTACTTGCCCGGAAGAATCTGCTATGATCCTGATGAGGGTTAGGAAGTTAAAAGAAGTGGTATGTTGTTTTAGTGGACGTGCACAATTAAGCTTGTCTGGTGCCTGTGCCTCAGGAGGAAATTGAAGGGCTGTATGTGGAGCTTTGATTGATGAAATAATTTTTTGGTACGACGTTTTGTTTTTGCAGTAGAAATTGCCACAGCAACGCAGTGCGTATATTGGCTGGAGGTCTCTGTCCAGTGTACCCCTTCTACTATGATTTTACTGGACACAGTGGTTCGATTTACGAAACTCCATTTTGGGCCTGTTTGCATGCGTCAGATATCCTTCCAAATCTCGTGGATGGGCTGGCAATTACAACTAATTCGGTCCATCCATGTGAATATTCTTGTGTTAGCCTGCTATAGGAAACGAAGCCTTAGAGATGACAACTGTGCATAAGTTGGAGTTTGTTAACAGACATGGTCTGATTGAGGATTGGTTTAAATTGCTTCTTAATAACTTACTCCATAAATAAATAAACATAACGCTAATATTGCATCCGTCCGGGTGTGACCATCCTAACGCCCGTTCCTAGACCTGCGCAGCGCGGGTCCAACATGTCACGGCCATGCTCCCAGAAATCCCCACCTTCTCTAAAATAAAAAGAAATTCCCAATCCCCACATGCTTCACTTCGTGTTGTGGCTTTACCGTGCCTCCTCGCCACCGCACGTCGCGCAGCGCCCCTATCCCGCTCCGCGTCTACCGGCATGCCGCACTCCAGCCCCCGCCGCGCACGCTCCACCTCGCTGCGCCCCATCCCACGCATGGAGGTGCCCCGCTCCCGCCCTTATGCGTCGTGCCCCGTGCCCCACAGCTCAGCACCGTGCCCTGTCCACCGCCGCGTCGAGGTGGTGCCGAGGTGCTACCGCCGCCGCCAGTCCCCACCAGAAGGTCATGGCCACTTCGACGTTCGCGCCACTGCTACGCTCGTCCTCAGTTCGCACATAAGAGATCCGGAGTGGCCAGACCAGGTGCAGGCGCAGCTAGTCGCTGCCATGCCGTGCTACCATCCTCGGCCACCGGCTAGTCGGAAATGGCCTTTCCCCGCCCTGCTCTGCGTCGTCCGAAAGAAGAAAGGTGAAATACACATGGTGCAAGTGTATGTTTTAAATGTTTCACATGTTTCATAGGTATGTTGCAAAAGTAGATCGAGATGTTGCATATGTTGCAATGGTTGTGCACATATGTTGCAAGCTTCTATTCCCACTGTTTCATATGTTTTTTTTCAAACGCGGGTTGCAAGTGTTTATCTGGATATTGCATGTGTTTCACCTGGATGTTGCATATATTTTGCAATGGCTTTTTCAAGCGTTTTTCGGGTGTTTTTACAAGTGTTTTAGACGTATGTTTGTAAGTGTTTCAACTGTTTCGAACGTATGTTGCAAATGTTTTATTGGGATGTTTCAAAAGTAAATCGGGTGTTGCATCTCTCCTCGCCTTCTGCTGCCTCACCTCGGTGTCTCCTCCTCTTCTCGATGTTGGTGATGTTCGGGCTGCATGGGCCCACGTGGGGGCGGGAGGCATGGGTAGGGCTTGTCGTTCGAGCAGTGCGGAATCCGAGCGGGCGGGCGTGCGGGCGTCCGGACGCAGACCTAGGACCGGACGTCTAGGCGCTAGCATGACCCTAAATAAACATAAACATAGCTGTGATTACTGGCAGACGCTTTGACCATGAGGTCGTTAACAAAGGCACATTCGGAAACAAGAAAAAGGAGTTTTGCTGCGTACAGGCAGCGTACCGCTAGTCATGGCCGAAATCACAGCGTCGTTGGCTGTGGAGCGTTGAATCATAGGACTCGTGCCTTTTCTTACGTTTGGCGATCGGAAGGGATGGGCAAGGACCGGAGGCATGTCCTGGGCATGTTGCGCCTCGTCCGGGCTCCACCGGTCACCACCGTCCGGCGGAGCATCGGTTGTTGCGGCGTCGCCGTCGCCGGGTCGGACGTGCGCGGAAAGCCACTCCCCGTCCTCTGGTTTGGTGGCACGGCGTCCAGAACGGCCGCGTGCGCCGCCGTACGGTTGTTGGTTGCACAAACAAAACGAAACCTTGTCGCAAATCTCGGCGCGCGAGGTGACACGGCCACGAACCCCAAACCTCTTGCATTGCATTGCATAATTGGGCTCAGCTAAACACTGCACTTGCATCGCTGTCCTGCAGTTGCGAGCTCACACAGTCACACACTCTCTACTGGTCACATCACCTGCTCCAGTTCCGTGTGTTGACCTTGATAACGAATGGAGGGAGAGCGATTTGCTAGCCAACAAGGACTTCCGGCATTAGCGACTCATCCTTGGAAATTAAGCAGTTGTTAGCCTCAGTGATTGATTGCATTGCTGTATGATATCCCATGTGTTTTGGTCAGAGTCGGATTGGAACGGCCAAATAGGACGATGGCACGGGCAGTAGCTGCCAACGTACAGTTGTCAGTTGGCAAGCATACTAACAGACATACATGCATGTGACGTGCCAACACAAGATATCCAATCCATAGGCTTGTGTAGTCTACTATTATTTTGTCGTTGGCAACGTCCCAGCAGCAAATAAACGGTCGACTGGTCGACTGGTCCCGCTCCTACAGACATACTGCGTCGACGCCATCGCCACCAGGGCGTCCATGGAGCCGTAAGAGGTCGACTGGTCCTGCTCCTACAACCGGAGGAAGCTCTCGTCGAAGGACGGTGGCGACGCACACAGCTGCAACGGCGTCAGGAAGCAGCAGGCGATGCCGACTGCCGAGTATGGAAGAAAACGGATCGGATACAAACGGATATTACTAATATTACATTTGTTTTTATATTTCTGTCCGGATTTGAATTCGAATACGGATATTGTCAACCATGACGGATAGAATACGATTGGATATCGACATCATAAATATGTGATTTGATTATTCGGATACGGATATGGTATCGGATGTTGAATATCCGGACCCGGATACAGACAGATTTGAACTTCTCTCAACAGATTCGGTTTCGAATACGGTCGGAAAATATCCGTACCGTTTTCACCCCACTGCCGAGAGACTGGTGGGTGGAGGACCTCTGTGACCTGGAGGTGCCGACTGCTGGAGTCCGGTGAGGCCTACCGCGGCGAGTTGATTAAGAGGATCGGCGCACAGCTGGATCGAGCTTCGGTCTCGCACCTTCTAATGCCTGCTGAATCCGGCGACGACGTGATGTATAATGTTGACACGGCGCGCAGCTGGATCGAGTTCATGCTGCAGCACAAAATGAATGGAAGTGAGGCAAAGCTGCAGGAAGATGATGACAGCATGGTTGTAGCTGCTGACAGCGTGATAACTTCTTCGAAGCTGGTGGCTGTCACAAAGCTGGTGGATGGTTATCTCTCTTAGATCGCCAAGGATCCGTGCCTTCCTCTGGACGAGTTCATCGCCCTTGCCGAATTGATGACTGATTTACCCTTACTTGAAAATAAAATACAAAAATAAAAAATAGATCTTGCTCCACATATTTTGGTATTGGCCCCACCTAATTTGGTTCTATCACCACCTATTTGGTACCTTGCACTTTTAGCTAGATATCTCATATTTTTTCAACGTCCGATCTTCCCTAATAAATGGTCTATGTTTTTTTCGACCATAGTAAAACTTAGGTTCCCCCGTAATTAATAACATTGGAGCTTCCTCTGTGTCCCCGAACGAAAAATGGCATCTTTGACTTAATTAATTTACCACACGCTGATGCACTTCATTGTTGGTTTCTCCAGTGTAGAAGAGCAGGGGCCATGCATGCTAATCTCTGTAAAAAAGATGTAGGGCGCGTTTAGTTCGGCAAAGTGGCACATGCAAACTTTGCATAGTGTACGATTCTTCATTGTAGCATTTCGTTTGTATTTGTGAATTATTGTCCAAATATTGATTAATTAGGCTCAAAAGATTCGTCTCGCAAAGTTAAAGCAAACTGTGCAATTAGTTTTTGATTTCGTCTACATTTAGTATTACATGCATGTACCGTAAGTTTGATGTGACAAAAAATCTTCTTTTTATATAGTATACTTTTAGAGAACTAAATAAGGGCGTAGAAGAGCAAAGTATGCACAGATGTCATGTCAGTAAGATTTTGCTCAAAGGGATCGGAACAACCCCCCATCCAATAGCGATGAGTGCAAGTAGTGCTTTTTTTAGATAGTCAAGCCTCCTGTCACATAGTCAAGCCTCTTTTTCTTTCTTTAGAATAGCTGAAGCATAATAATACCACTTTTTGTCAATCCAAATAGTGCTTGGCTTAATTGGGTACCATATGGTCTCCATAAATCATGATGTAGTTTTTTTTTACCAAATTATTTCAGTTTAGGCTTGGCCACTGCTTGTCGGATACCACAAGAAGGGGTACCCTAAACAAGAACTGAAAATATTGCTTAAGCCTTGCAAAAATCAAAGCCAAAGGACAACCACGAGGTCTCGGCAGATTCTCCGATTCGCCCGAGGCTTCCGTCGAGGCCTCAGACGAAAGGCCAAAACTCTCCGCCCCGTCGAGGCCCTCTCGCCGAGGCCCCCTCGCCGAGGCCCCGCCCCGCAAGGCCTCGGACGAGATACCAATTCTCCGATTCGCCCGAGGCTGGGCTCGACAACAACCTCGTCACCTCCGTCCCGACCGACTCTCCTGACAAAACGTCACGTCCAGTTAATGCGCCCAACTACTCCGGCAACGTTAGCCGCACGTTGGCGCAGTACAGGCAGAGTGACCGACGGGACAGGGGACCGGGCACAGCAGGGGATACCTGCCGCTGTGCTCATCACTGTGCCCCCTGCTGACACCCGTACTGTCCTGTGTTACCTAACTCCTGCGCCAAGGACAAAGCGACATGGAGGGTCAAGTCCGAGTCCCTGTAGTCTCGAAATCAGCATGAAAGACCAATTGATCGCCTCCGCCTCGTCCGAGACCCCCCGTAGGGCCTCCGACGTACTATTCCTTCTCCGCCTCGGCCGAGGCTGGGCTCGTCCCGCATCCTCGTTGCCTCC